GGAGCCACAACTACTCAAGTGTTGTTAATTCTGTCACCCTCTGTTGGCTGGTGCCATAAGCCTCAGTTGATGACTCTCCTCCTCCTCCTCCTCCTTCTCATTTCCTGAGAATGATCAGATCATGGTCAATGCTGACTGAGCACTGAATCGCTGCTTATAGCAGACCAATAGCCTTGGCTATAAAGCTTCTTAAAGAATTAATTTCCAACCTCATTTCATTGGGTCTCTGTCAAGGTTGCTGTTCTTCCATTGTAAATAGTCTTTACTTCATTTCTATTTGCTTTTGGTCAGTTTTTCATGCATGGCTCATAGCCATTTCCATCCTCTCTTAATTGCAATTCTGAAATTCAAAAAGTTCTGAAAATGCTATTTTGTAAGACATGATAAATTTGAGACACATTCATTTGATAACAAACTTGACTTAAACTGATGTGAGGCTATTTATTTAAAGTGTTTATTCCTCTTACTGTGCAACTGCTAATGTAGAAATATGTATAAACTTCTTAAGCATTGCATCCACAGATCACAGGGAGCATGGCACATACATATATTTAAGGATGTTATATTCACGATATTAATTTTTATGATTTAAAAAATCAAAGTGTATTTGTTAGTTTCTGCTAAATCCAAAAAGCTGTTAGTTTGATTTACCTGAAAAAAATGTTGGTTTTGGTAAAACAAAACATCTGTACTTGATGTACATCACATCTATGCATTTGCTTTTGAGAGAATAATTCCAAGGATTGTTTTATTTCTTACAGAAATTACTGAAAAATAATCCAATAACTGGGAACTCTATCCAAAAAATACTTGAAAGTAAATCCAGAGTCTGTTTTACTTTGGTAACATCAGCATGGCCAGCTTCTTCTGAGAAGCTAGAAATTAATGCATAGGTGTTAAAGAATACCAGGAAGCAGGCTTTCACTTGAAATTCCTAGTTTGGGACCAAATTAGATTTTAGCCTTCAATCCACCACCCACTATTCTCACTACTGCAGATGCTCTGTGCTATAATTGAAACTTTTCTTGGGGGAAATTGAGGCCAAGATAGCCTAATCTCTGGATTAGTCTCACTTAGATGTGTTCTATCAGTCTTTTGTAACTAAAGATAAAAACATTTGACTCAATTTAAAGGGAACTTTACATAAATTTGGAGTCATTACTGACCTTAAAGAGAGATCTGCAAAAGAATGCAAGGAAATAAGAGCCCCAGTTATTAGTTGCCTGGCCCCCTCTATTATTAGAGAAATAAACACACAGGTTCCCAGGAGATATAGTCCCCTATTTTTTGTGCTTTCCTCTAAGTGCTTAGTGTATTTGGCAGAGAAATGTGCCTGCAGATAGCATTTACTTAGGAGATAGAATTTTCAAATGAGCTTTTGATCTATGAAAGAAAATACCTATATGGAAGATTAAAGAACCATTCTTCAGGGATGGATGGCACAGGGCCCTGTGTGCTGAATTGTGACTGATGAGGAGCCCATGCTGACCTCAAAGGGGTCTTCTTCCCCCAAGCAGCAGCTGTGTCCATCTCTAGCCCAGCTGCTGAGAACAGTACCACTGTAGCAAAGGCCCTACAGAGTGTGTACATGGGAGGGGAGCATGGATTCCTCTGGACTGGGGCTAGGGGACATGGTGCATTACTCCTGATGATGGGCAGTTGGGTCAGGGAGTCTCCCTCAGAGTTTAAGTTGGGACCACAGAAGCAGGTGAACTCTACAGCCAGGATAGGACTGTGCTCTCTTGGCTACACTGTGGCCTCAGATTCGGTGAATGTAGGGTGGCAGAGCCTGACAGCCAGCTGCTGTGTGTGAGAAGCAGGAGACCAGGTGGATGAGCAGACAGACACATCGGTCAGATGTGGCCTAACAGGAAAGATGAGCTGGTCCCCAGAACATTGGCTACCCTGAGCTCAGCTGAATTGCAAAGGTGGGGCAGGGTGAAAGGGGCAGAAACCAGAGCCCTCCCTCAAGTTGAGAGGCCCACTTTCTGCAAGAAAGCTGAGCAGAACTCAGTCTGAAGAGACAACGAGCCTCAGAACAGAGGGTGCTGACATACCCCAGCATGCTATTAAGCAGCTGAGGTTGATTTGTTACAGGGCACAGAGAACAAACGATTGGTAAAGCAGAGTATTGATTCTCAATAAAGGCAAAGTAGCAAATGGTGTCACTTTCCAAACGCTTTGCTTGGTCAGCTTTACAAATTTAAAATCAATCATTAGAGATGATTGATCCCTTAGGATCATATCTCCTGGTAAGAGTTTTACCAAGACTTTTTAAAACTTAGGATAGAGGATGCAAAGAAATGCATTCTCTCATTTCCTTATTCCCCCACCCAGCACAAAGCATTCAAGGACACTTTGTCACCTTGGGGCTGAGTGCTGGCCCTTCGCAGTGTATGTGTTCTGCACAGCCACTGGGAAGGCACAGTGCTAGGTGCTGTCCTTGGCTTGCTAGCTAGCTATGAGACAAAAGCAAGTCTGTCCTCCTCCCTGGGCCTCAGTTTTCCCCAATTAATACAACAGTCAGGCTCACCTAAACCTGAGGATGGGACTATACAGTACTGAGTGTAGCTAAGATCAGAGCTCCTGGACAGTCTTGTGAAGCTTTGAATGAGATGACAGCAACAAAATGAAACACTGTCTTAATGAAAATGGATCTGCGAACCAATTAGTGTCTGAGGCCCACTTCTGTATCTAGGTTCATAATGCAAGCAACTTTGGCTTAAAGTTGTCATGTGAACTGAAGATGGCAAGGCTTCCCCAGGAGGGAACCACACTGTGCTGGAAAGTCATGGAGCTGGCACACCCATGGGTTTGGTTCTAATCAAACTCTGACTTTGGGCCCAGCCCTCCGGAGCCTCACACTTCTGGTCTATGAAGTGGGGATGGTACGCTCCGCGCTGCCTGTAGCTCATAGATCACAGGCCCTGGTGTTGCACTGGGCTATTTCCACCTAGTTCGAGGCTGAAGGAAAGAATGAATGATGTCATGTTTTTTTTTTTCCTTCCAGCCCACCCTTGGCGGCACCTCAGCTCCCACCTGCACTGCAGGCCAGCGGGGGGTCTGGCAGCTCCAGCGAGTCAGAGAGCAGCTCCGAATCAGACTCTGATACCGAAAGCAGCACCACTGACAGCGAGTCCAATGAGGCACCTCGAGTGGCCACTCCAGAGGTGGGTCCAAGGATTATTTATACACACACACACACACACACACACACACACACACACTCAGTACCACAGCTACTTCAGCACAATAACTACATCCACAAAATGCGCAAGTATTTCACAGTCTTTTCTTTGTCTCCAATATATACTTGCATAGCACCTAACGCAGCTCTGTTTCTTGTGTGATTTGCTGTGAGACTCAAAGTTCCTCCCGGGTGAAACTAAAACAGGAACACCCAGACAAGCAAGGTCTTGTGTAAGAGAAACAACAAAACTAGTCAAGACCGCTTCTCCCCTGGACACACCAACCCTTCCCCTCCATTGAACTTGTAAGGCCAGTGACTTGCCACAGGCAAGGAATGCACAAGCAGGATGCCTTTCCTTAAAGGTAGAATAACAGTTGAGAGGTCACGCGCTTTTTATTTCCATTTACATCAAGTGTCTTTGTGAATGCTTCATAAAGACATTGAATATAGCTCTGGAAATACAAAAACAATAATTGGAAATTTAAAATAAAAACTGTTTCATTCCTCGCTATCACCCTCTCTGCATTCAGGATAGCTGCTCTAGTCCCCAGGGCCTGCACCTGGTACAAGTGAATTCCATTGCATCATCCTTGCCTCCATATGCAGGTGTTTCTCAATAACGGAGAAGGAATGATAGAAGTCTGCAATACTCATATCACAGCAGCTAATGACAGCAAACACATACAGAGCAGAGCTTTGTGCCAGGCACTGTGCTAAACTCTTTACTTGCCTGTTCTCAGCTCATCTTGGGCACGGCCCTATGGGTTATGATCTGCTCTTATGATCAGCATCTTACAGATGAGGGTGCAGGTTTCTGAGTGGAACTTTTCCAAGCCCCCTCGGACACACATTAGTACAGGAGGACAGAGCCCCAGGTCAATGTGGCACCAGAGCTGAGTTTCATCACCCTAAAGCTGTGCCACCGGTAGCTGCAGCCAATCCATCTTCACCTTTTACCTGCTATTGTCCTGTACAGCTTGGAGCCACAACTACTCAAGTGTTGTTAATTCTGTCACCCTCTGTTGGCTGGTGCCATAAGCCTCAGTTGATGACTTTCAAAAGGAGAGCTCTCTCTAATAAAAATGATGGCTTTTAGTTCAACAGGCAGAACGCAGAGTTGTGAATCCAGGACCTGAATTGTACGCATCATTTCCATGGCTTAACAGTGGACGCTAATGTCTGTATTCATATCCCCATAAATCGGTTATTGCCTATACATTGAGGAAAGTGTGGTGATTTTTTTGGAAGTCAAATCTTTTCATCCTCCAGTAAAAATACAAAAGGCTTGTTCCATTTTCAGTGAATTAGAGCATCACATAGGAGGCACTAGCACGCCGGCGGATGGAAAGCCTTTCCTTTTGAATTACACTTGAGGCATGCTTAGATTTCTTTTCAGGATCAGAGACCATTACTGCTGCCTCCTGCTGAGAGGTCTAGTGATGATTCTCAGCAAAGAATTTTGGGAACAAATTTTCCTCCCAGGAGCCCCTGCCTACCTTCTGAAACATCTCCCTGTGAATAATTCCTCCCTGGCCAGAGTGGAGGAAGGAAAGAGTGGGAATTAGTTTAAATAAGCAAAATAGAGCTGATTTGTATCTAGATAACTAGGCAATTTGATTAGTGTAGGTAGTGCATGTGTGCATGAGTTTGTGTGCTGGATATGTGTGAAAAGTTACTTAATATCCAAAGCTTTGATCAGCCAGCAGTCACTGTACAAGTAGAGAATTCTTCTCAATTTGTCTCAAATGTGAAATTCATTCTTTCTGCTTTGTTTCCCAATCTATAGCCTGAGCCACCCTCAACCAACAAGTGGCAGCTGGATAAATGGCTTAATAAGGTGACATCTCAGAACAAGTCATTTATTTGTGGCCAAAGTGAAACACCTATGGAGACAATTTCTCTGCCTCCTCCAATTATCCAGCCAATGGAAGTCCAGATCAAAGTGAAATCAAATCCCAGTCAGATATTGGCTGAACCCAAAGAAAGGCCTCTCCTGAGTCTCATCCGGGAGAAAGCCCGTCCTCGGCCCACCCAGAAAACTCCAGAAACAAAGGCTTTGAAGCATAAGTTGACAGCGACTATTGAGACAGCTTCTCAAAGGACAATGGGGAAGAAACAACCCAAAAAGGTTGAGAAGAACACCTGCATTGAGGAGTTTACCTGGCCTAAACCAAATATTACCAGCAGCACTCCCAAAGAAAAAGAAAGTGTGGAGATTCCTGACCCACCACGAAGCCGCAGCAAAGCCACTGCCCACAAACCAGTCCCTAGGAAAGAACCAAGGCCTAACATCTCCTTGGTTGCTGAGAAGAAGAAGTACAGAGGGCCTGGCAAGATTGTGCCCAAGTCTCGGGAATTCATTGAAACAGATTCGTCTACATCTGACTCCAACACCGATCAGGAAGAGACCTTGCAGATCAAAGTCCTGCCCCCTTGCATGGCTCCTGGAAGCAACTCTGCAAAATCCAAGGAGGCCTGTGGTGCCAGCCTGACCTTCAGCACCTTAGTCAGCAGCAGCGGTGGCGGCGGCAGCAGCAGCAGCAGCAGCAGCAGCAACAACAACAGCTTGTCCAGCAGTAATGATGAGCCGTCTTTCTCACCAATTTCTGCCATGCATACAGATCTACTGTCCCCTCTTCGAGATCACGAGAATCTGAAAAATCTCTGGGTGAAGATTGACCTTGACTTAATTTCTAGAGTACCTGGCCACAACTCAGTTCAAGCCGCATCTGCCAAGCCAGACCATAAGGAAACTGCCTCAAAGCCTAGACGTCAGGCTGGTGCCACAACCATGGAGAAGCCAGCCCCCAAAGGCAAGCGTAAGCACAAGGTAAGTGTACACGGTGGCTTGCCAAGTGACCGGAAGCAATGGCTGGCAGTTACCTCGGTTCAGCTGAAGTCTCATTTCCAAGGAAGCCCAGTGGTGACAGATTCTAGATTTTGGTGTTGTTTCCCATGGGAAATGCAGTATTTGACATGTGATCAGGGACAATATAATAGAGTGACACTATAGAGTCCACTATGGCCCATGAGAAATTATCATGTGTAGGAAAGAATATGAAGAAAGTCACTCCCCAGCTGCAGTACCGCCTACAGCCACTCACTGGACGTAACTCTTAAAAGTGCTCCTGCTATCAGGGGCTTATTGCTCTGCTATCCCCACCTGTGCCCATGATGTCCCAATGCATCCTCAGGGCTTGTTCATTTCTCTACATAAGCATTAATACACTCATGACTCAGTCATCTTTGGAACCCCATCGGAGTACCAGAAACATGTTCTGCCTAGTCCCCTGGGATCGCTGGCTTAAGTGGTAGGATTGCCCTGGGAACCTCTTATGTGCAGGCACTCGGGGCTGAATTCCAAGAACCAAAGGTGGGAGATGAGAATGGCCCTTCTGTTTGAAGTAATCTGCTGAGAGGAGCTTGTAGCCAATAAGCAAATTCTAACTTATCTCTAGATGTCGGTTATGTTTTTTAAAATAATATTGTCAAATGGTGACTTTTGAGTATTCTTGTTTCCAATAGCTGCCTTGGTGGTTGGAGAGGAGACTCCTAGTCCTTTTCCCCATTTCTTTTATTTCTTCCTGGAGAGATTCAGTTATGCCAGAAATAGCTCAAATCCCTCAGTGAAGAACACCCCCCTCATAGCTAGGGAAGGCTGCTGCAAGAATAAATTCAATGTGCACTTGATTTTAATTTAGACATTGAAACCAGAGGCTATAATGTCTGAGTTGTTCACCAAGTATATCCAGTGAGAGTATTCCGAAACAGAGAGCAGTAGTCCCGGGACCTTTCCCCTCTACTGCCTCCTCTTTCAGCGATGATGGTGGTAGGAGCAAAGCTGAAACTACCATACCTTTGGCGCTAACATGTACATAGATCTAAGGATGTGCCTCGTACCTGGTTCACCTGCCGCGGTGCTGTTGGTCTTGCAAGGAGCCTCTCCATGTCACTCCCCATCTCTGTGGCATTTGACAAAGATGTGAACCATGTTAGAGTTACAATGTTAGTTTCTAAAGCACATATATGTGTGGGTGCTGCTGAGGGAGGCGGTTTCCGCAAAGGCGATGTTCTCTTGACCTTTGTTAGGAGAGTCTTGCACCATCCAATTGTTAATTGGGGTTCGCATTGCAGCTCACCTCCCTCGAATGCCAGTCTCTCTGCAGGACTACACTAGAGAGGCTGATGGCTTTTCTGTGTACTCAAAGTGCACACATAACTCCCTTACCTAATCCAGGAATTAAGCTCGCAGCAAACTATCTTGGTCACTTGTTGAAATGTTTGAAACACGCTTTCTGAATGTGCCATGCATTTCAATGCCTGCCTTTCTTTTTCTTTCCTTGTAAAAGCCAACAGAAGCTGCAGAGAAAATCCCGGAGAAGAAGCAGCGCCTAGAGGAGGCTGCCGCCCTCTCCTTGCTTCCTCCATGCATCTCACCAGCCCCACCGCACAAGCCTCCCAGTGCTCGAGAGTAAGTTCACGCTGGCTCTGCATGATCTGGCCCACTTCTAAGAAATCCTCCCCAAACATTTTTTGGGCTATGGAACTCAGAGGAAAGTGAGGCACAATCCAGGAGGACCTCAGTAAGGCCTGGCAGCTGGCCCTGGCACTGCTCTAAGGATGCAGGAGGAGTACAGGCTATACAGACTGCCAGATTCGAGGTCACTGTGAGCTTTGGAGCAATATCACTTTATGCCAAAGCTCCAAAGCTCACAGTGACCTCAAATCTGGCAGTCTGTATGGCGTGTACTCAGAATGATAGCGGAAATCAACCAAAATGAACTTTCCAAGTGAAGTGAAGAGTAAAAGGGGAGTTAAAAGTGGGTTGTGTGAATGACACCTATCACTTTGATCAGATCACCTGCCTCTTGCAAGAATTCAGTTCTGATGGTGATTAAATAATTTCCCTGCTAATGCAACTCCTTGGCAATGACAGGTGACCCAGCTGCTGCTCTGTTGATGTCATTACCTAAGGTTAATCCAAAGCTTGAGGATCAAGGCCTACCTGGTGAACTTCACAGAGGCTAGGGGAATGACAGGCTGTGGAGGCCAGAGATGAGTTGGCAGGGAGATGCCCTCTCCCCGGGGCAGCTCCATGTCTGGAAACCAGCTAGGGATGCATATGTAAATTCCAACCGACTGGCACTTCCTCTCCTTCCCTTCTCTGTGTGGAAGGTTTCAGAATCAGGCAGGAGGCCTCCTTGTTCCCTGCTCACTCAGACAGCATTAGCTTTCCCTGGAGAAGTCCTGCCCTCTGCTTCTACCAAGCATCATGCCCGACTTCTTTCTGTTTTATAAATATCACTTAACTAACAATCATGTCAGCTACTCAAACCATTCCATCTGGGTAATTATTGCCATAAATTCATTCACCATTAGAGATTACTTCCATCAAAGCCAAGTTTTGGAGCCTATTAGCCCAGAGCAGAGGCAATCTGGCTAACTGCTGCTATACAATTGATTTCACAGATTACTGTTTAACATCAGTGATAAGGCATCAATCTGCCACAGATCAGATGTTGGAAATAAGTTATCAGCTTGTGTGGGTCTGGATCCTTGTTGTTCTGAGATAGAAGGTAGGAAGAAACCAATTACTACTAAGGCCTTAATATGGTGTAAAAGGCTTTGCTGTCTGGGCTGCCCTCCCCCTGAGGACCAGCAGCGATATTTGAGGCTCATCTGTACTCCCTGTTAGGACTAGGCTCTCAAACATCCATTCACAGAAGAAAAAGGCAAAAGCAGTGGGACATTGCCGCCAAGGTCAGTCCACACTGCTGGGCCTGCAGTCTCCCAACTCGCAGCCCACACACTCGTTACTTCCTCTATCTCAAGGGAGAGAAGTGAACAAGTATTACATAAACTAATCATTTGTATTTGGTTTCATAAAGCGGTAGTTTTCATGTATAGATTCATAGTCTCTCTGCTTGTCTGTTAGGCAGAAAAGCTCCCTAAGAGCACTTGTTATTTAGGAAGGGCCCAAGCAAGTTCTGGGATGCAGCAGACAAAACCAAATCTCAGAAAATGAGGAAGGATGGAGCAAGGGGCACTTATTCAAGGCCTTCTCTTGGGACTCTTCTCTCAAGTGCTCTCTGCTTACTTGTGCCTTTGACCTTTTGCACTAAACCCTTAGGCCTTTTTGATGTGACAACATTCACTTTTTTATTTTTTTTATTTTTTTTAAATATTTATTTATTTATGTGTGTGTGTGTGTGTGTGTGTGTGTGGCCAGCTCAGCCCACCAGGGGGCGGGCTGGCTGGCATGTGGTGCTGGGGGATTGAACCGCGGTCCCTGTGCTTTGCCAAGCTTGTTCCAAGTAGGTGCCTTAGACCACTGAGCCATCTCACCAGCTCCAACATTCACTTTTTTAAGTGGCTATTCTAAACCAAATGAAGATTACACCAGATTAGGACAACTGAAGTCTCCCTGCCACCCAAGAGCAAGGCTCTGTCATTTGAGAGATGAAAATTAAGACAGTGCTGAGCTTCCACCTCACTCCAGACACAATGCAATTAATGAGAAATCAGCTAATAAGAAACACGGGCTTTGGGGAAAATGGACCCTTCTTCACTATTGCTGGGAGTGTAGATTGGTGCAACCACTGTGGAACTCAGCCTGGAGAAGGCTCAAAAATTAGGATTACAGGTCCCATTTCACCCATCAATCCCCTGCTGAGTATATTTCTGAAGTAAAAACATCATACCGCAGTCATATATGCACACTTATGTTTACAGTAGCATAATTTGTAGTAGCTGGACATTGAAAACAACACACATGCCCCTCCACCACTGAATGGGCAAAAATGATGTGGTTTGTTTTAATACAATGGAGTACTACTCAGCCACAAAGAAGGATAATGATGAAATATTCCTAGGTAAATGGATGCACCTAAGACCACACTCTTAAGTAAAATAAATCAGACACACATGTGCAGATATTGCATTGTTTCTTTGGTGTGACAAACCAAAAGGGTAGCTAAAGACCAAAGTGTATAAGAGGTATAGTACAATAGGAAGAAATGGTACAAAAGGAATGGGAACTAGGGAGGTGGGAAGAGGGGGAAAAAAGGAAGGGAGGAAGATGATAAAATGGAAATGCAGCTTTGTCAGTGAGACAAAGAATGACTGAAGTGAGGGAAGGGGAATGGAAAGAGAAAAAGCAGGAAGCAAAAGACATCATGAACGGGGACAAATTCCCTATAATGAACATGATCATCGTGTATGGCTAAGCTGTACCAATAAACTTAATAAAAACATTGCAGAAAGCCAACAGTTCCGAGGGTCCCCTCCCAAGCCCTCTGAGGGAGTGTATGCAGTGATGTCTGCTGTCCTTCGCTAGCCTGCGTAAAGAGGCACCTGAAGATGCAAAACCTATGCATGCATGCCATCGCAGTATGAGAGTGGGCCCTACCTCTAGAAACTTCTCCTTGGGGAAGAAGTCATTAAAGGCCCCAATGTTTCCAGATCCTACCAGGCAGATAAAAAAGGGTGTGAGCTCACTGGCAACCACCACACAGAACACATCAAGTCCCTGTCGCTCAGTTCAGGGATTGATGGGGAGGCTGTGACTGTCATAGACAATAGCAAATCCATTGCTTTTCAGAGGCTCCTCTTCCTTTGCAGCCCCTACTGCCTTCTTGACCAGCTTAGGTTGTGGGACAATGATCGTGACTAGAGAATCATTTACCTCCTCTAGATATCATAGCAAAGCTTGATGTGTGCATACATTAATTTCCAAAGTTCATGTGTCTCTGAAATTATTGCATTGAATGTGGTGTAATGCTGGTAGAGCATCCGTGTGGACCAGAATCTTTTTTTTTTTTTTTTTTGGCAGAACCAGGGATTGAACTCAGGCCCTTGCGCTTGCCAGGCAAGTGCTTAGTCTACTGAGCCATCTCCTGGGCTCCTAAATAGGCCACTAATACTTTATTTTTGTATTTTTAGGGAAAGGTCTACAGGGTGTTCAGGGCCTCACTACTAGATCGGATTCATAATGATCTGCCTGTTTACAGCCTCCCAAGAGCTGGGATTATAGGCATGTGCCACCACGTCCAGTCTCAAAGCCAGGGGTTCACGCCAGGGGTGGGGCTGGTACCGCAGGCCATGGGGATCGAAACCCTGGTCCCTGCACCTGCTTGCAGGCGCTTTTATCTGCTGAGCTATTTGGCCAGCCCCAGAATCTTAATCTAAATATTCCCCATCCTTTTTTATCAGGTATCACAGCTATCTTACAATGGTGCTACATTTCAAACCAATTTTTAAAATCCATCGGCAAGCATTTTTGTATTAATTTTAATGATTAAGGTAATAGCAGAGTCACCTAAGTTTTTGTATACTTTCATTATGTGACAATAAAATGACATGGGCCATATTTATATTACAAAAGATGAAGAAGATGACACATATTATTGCAGTTGGCAAGTTGTTGCAGCATAGAGGAAGTAGAAGAAAGAGACTACACTGACTTCTATTTCAAGAATTGAGACCACTTGAATGCTTGTTCATCTTTGATTTGTTGCTTAGAGATACAGCAAATCTATATTTCTAGACACTGACTGAAATTGACCAAGAGGAAAACATAAATTCTTGTTGGCTTAATTTGCCATTGAAAATGGTAGTCAATAATCATGAAAAGTAAATGGCTATCCAGTGCAATATTAGTTGTCTAAGAAAAGATTAAAATTCAAGTAATCTTCATTGATTAGTCTAAGACAGTAACTAAAATGAAAATCCATGACCCAATTACCATGTTAAGCAGTTAGCATAAGATTTTAGTTGTTCTTTTTTATTTCAAGTCTTAGTCTTTTTGATGGTACCCATTTAATGGGCAGATAAATCAGCTTGAAAGCATGGGGGTACTTTTAGGACTGTAGATATCTCATGTCAGTTTGACCAAAGAATATCTTTTAAGTAGACTTTTGTGAAGTGGAGTACATGAGTACTTCATAAAATAGTTTAAGGTCAGGTACTCATCCTGCCTTGGTGATAAGGCAGAGCATTTTGTATATGCATTTTGCAATATGCCACAATCTTATTGCAGGTATAATTTATTTCTAGGTAACAGTCATAACATTTCTTAAGAAACTATCCTTCGACTTGTATATTATACCATTTACTGCATGATTATTTAGTTAAGGCATAAGGCAAAAAGAGTAGAAACTATCCTAATCTGTATTGTATTTTCTTTACATTTAATTCATGGTCATCTAATTTTGATAGGTTATAAATATTATACTGCAATGTATTCTTTTAGGCATTTGTGTTTGTCATGGAGTTCAGCTTCACAGACAGGTGCTTAGCTTTGGATCCATATGTATACCTATCTATGTGTTTGTGAAGAGATATCTGTATAGATTATCCACATAAAGAAGGGATCATGAATTAAAATAAAATTTCAGCTAAAAGTCCTAGCATTGTGAGGAAAATCAGAATAAAGCAAGATAATACTTTCTGATGCCCTATACTTTTGGTTTCCACAGAAATAATTCATCAAGGAGAGCAAATAGAAGAAAAGAAGAAAAACTCTTTCCTCCTCCGCTTTCCCCACTGCCAGAGGACCCTCCACGCCGCAGAAATGTCAGCGGCAATAATGGTCCCTTCAGTCAAGACAAAAACATCTCCATGACTGGACAGATCACCTCTACTAAACCTAAGAGAAGCGAGGGCAAATTCTGTGCTACATTCAAAGGGATATCTGTAAATGTAAGTGTCTTTCAAGAAAGATTATAATTGTCAGATAGAAACAGATTCAGGCCATTCACCTAACTTGACTTGGCCAGAGCAGATATCGCATGGAGGAAGGGAAGAAGAGGCACAGAGAACGTACACTTGTGGGTCTGAGTGTGTATACAGACATGTAAACTCTCCATCACTCTTATTTCCCAAATCTCAGTTATTCTAACTCAGTATAAATTCCTTTCATTCCAGATTTGTCCTCCATTTTGCTTTCCCAACCAGATTGCACATTCAGAGATACAGGGACATGGCTGTCTTCTGGTCCCGTCTCTTATATCTTGGGGTGGGGAAGCCATCTCCACAATGCTGATCACAGCCTCTGGCACATGGTAGGCACAGAGCATTTAGAGAGTGAAAGGACAAGTGGATGGATGGGGATTTGCCAAGGTCACTAAACTGGTGCAGAAATTCCAGGTTGCGTTTCTTCTTCTTCTTCTCAGCTAGGCAAATGTGAAATGTTTTCTAAAGCAGTGATTACATTGAATTGAAGTTAAAAGAGAATATCTTGCTAAAACTGCACAGTTATGGTTCTCAACTCAGTTGAAGGACAGTGTAGTCCATTGGATTTTCGGCATTGCTGCTCAGTTCACAGAGACAATTGAAAACTTGTATCATCTTTCATACCCACATGCAACGTCTCTGGTATAGACACATGAATTGCTGAAACCACTGCCTCCAAAAATGCACTAAACATATATATATATAGATAGATAGATAGATAGATAGATAGATCGATCGATCGATCGATAGAGATAGAGATAGAGATAGAGATAGAGATAGAGATAGAGATAGAGATATATATGGCATCCATATGCATCTAGTCTTTTTAAAATATGATATAAAGGCAAATGAATAGCAAAAGTTCTCACAAGTCTATAATCAACATTTTGGACCCTGAACCAAAAGTTCTTGTCTAACACCCATAAAATAGGTCTCTGTGCTTTAAAAACCCCAATTGACAGCACTCCATCATCTGAGGTGACTGAGATGACTTTCATATCTAAGTCGATTTCATTAACTGTATGAACAAATTCCACAAATATGAAGTTGTCATTTTCCATACGCATTTAATGATGCTGACTATACAGTGCTGGGAATTAAACCATCTATTCTAAACAGTAATTATACTACTCATCCTATTTTTCACACTGAGTATAATTAATATTATGAACTCCAACTGATGCTGTTTTCTACTACAAGCTTTTGGAGGGCATGCAACTCATTGGGGAATTCTCTTTGTATAGTGCCTAGTATATTGTCACAAATAATTAGATGTTGTAAATAATCATGCCTAGTATATTGGTAGCAATAATTAAATGTTATAAATAATACAGATGTTGTTATGACAATGAGAATGCTTACAAGCATCGGCAGCCAATTCCGTAAGAGCTGAAAACTACTGGAGAAACATGATAAACATGATGCTATTTGCTCCTAGAAGTCCTTTACCCTCCTTTAAGGATCATGAGACATCTCCTGTGGATTCATACAATGAATCGATTCTTCCACCTACACGAGTGTTTTCAATTTTATGCTCCCAGAATCTTCTCTATGCCATTTAGACAGGAAGTCCAGTTTATTAAGTGAATGGTGGGGGGCATGTGGCTAAATATCATGTTTATAGGATTCCCATAATCATGGCTGTATCTTGTCATTTCTAGTCAGATGTTCAAGAAACAATATCAATACTGTGTGTACAGCAGTCGTGGCATTTCAGGCTCCTGTCACAGCTTAGCCCTGAGACAGGCAGGGGCACTACTTGGACTAAACCTGTTTGTTGATCTGGGCCAGTCTGGTTCTGGCAATGGAGATACAGAACTGGCACAGGAGTTTCCTATGACTAGGATTCCTTTATATGTTTGAGTTGAAAACTTTACATTGATATATGTCTCCATATACATTATAACAATTTATAGATGTGGAGATTACCTCACATGGTTGGCATATGCATTCTCAGTGGTAAGAAGTATTTGATAGTTAAGAATCAAGAGGTTATTGGGCTGGGAAGATAGCTCAGCAGTTTAAGCACCTGCCTGACAAGTGCAAGGCCCTGAGTTTGATCCCCAATACCAAAAAGAAAAAAATCAGAGTCAGGTGGAGAAAATCAACTTGCATGGGCATAAGAACCATCACATTTGACTTTTTCAACTAAACCCCTTGAATAAGGTAGACATGAACATGTATGTGGATGCATGCACTTAGGAAATGCTAAGCGCCTTGGGTCATGAATGCAGGGGCAATATCCAAACTCAGAGATGGTTCCCAACCTGAGATGACCAGCAACTGAGTGCATGCTGCTCACTGGAGTAAGCCAGGTGCCACAGGATAAATCCCACAGGATCTTACTTGTATGAGTTCCTCAGAGAAGTCACATTCATGGAGATAGAAAGTATGATGGTGGATGACGAGGACTGAGGTAAAGGAGAAAAGAGAAGGTGCTTTTTAACTAGCTTCAGTTCAGCTAGTTAAAAAAAGAATTCTGAAAAATGATTCACAGCAATGCAAATGTACTTAACATCACTGAACTGTGAGTTTAAATATAACTAACCAAGATAATCAGCATCATATGTACATTTGATCACAATTTTAAGAATTTAAAAATAAACCTGAAACAGTGAACTAAAGTATCACAAGGTAGAAAGAGAGTGAGAAAGAAAGAAAGAAGGAAAGAGAGAGAAGAGGAAAGGAAGAGATGGAGGGAGGGAGGAAAGGAAGAAAGAAAAAAAGGAAGGAAGGAAGGAAGGAAGGAAGGAAGGAAGGAAGGAAGGAAGGAAGGAAGGAAGGAAGGAGAAAGAAAGCAATTGACCAAGGGAGAAAGAAAGAGAGGGAGAGAGGGATGGAAGGAAGGAGGGAGGGAAAAGCAAAAAGATCGGTTGGTAAGTCTGTCTTTTTGAAATATAGGCGTGCACATGAACCAAGTCAGGAAAATGCAGAAAGCATACATGGGCTCCATTTGTTTGAAGCCAAGGTCCATGAAAGGGCCAAGCTGAACACTGGGCCCAGTGTGACAGCCTTGAGCTTGCATTTGGTACAAACTGATGACTTGCTTGGGGCCTTGTGCAGCTGAAGACTGTGACCCCATACAGACCTGTGCCTTGAAGCTTCAAGGAGGAAGGGACAGATGTGAAAGGTGTTGAGGGGTCTGTAATTCATGGAGAAAGGTAACAGAGAGACAGAAGTCAAAGATGAAATAGAATAGTGTTGTCAAGTTTTTCAGAATAACATCATTTTCTGAAATGAAGTAACTTGTAAAACTTCACTATACAGAAAGCAGAGCAGCTCAGATGAAAGGCAAGGTAAAGGGGCCCTCCCTTCCCTAGGACTACCGCAGTTCCCTATGGAACGATGCCATATCTGACTGGAAGCTCCATGGTGACATGAGGAAATTCAGCCTTGGTGACAAGAAGGCCATCCAACCATTAACAGAAAGAAGGAACTGGTTTGGTTACCCATCTGTGTAAAGAGACATTTGAGCCATCAGAAGCCCTCACTAGAGGTCAGGAGTTTGAGAAGAGTGAATAAGATTGAAACTTCTGCTCAGGAATGACAGGATTACTGTTGAATTGTGTCAACGCACACTGAATCAATAAATCTGGTCGGGAAGGGAGAGAGCTGAGAAGGAGCTTCGGGGCATAGGAATCTTGGAGACATACTACCTTAGAAGAGCAGAAGGAGGAAGAAAGAGGTGCCTCAGGGAGTGCTGTGAGATGCAGATAGTCGGGATATTTCCACGGTTTCCAGGTGGGGAGAAACATGGTAGGTGGGCTGGTGACACTATCTTTTAATAACAACTCTGGATCCCATCCTCTCTAAGCAGTGCCAGAGCAAAACACTTGTAAGTCTCTTGGCCGTTTCATTTCTAAGCTGATGAAAAGGAAGTTTCTCCATCCCAAGACCTCAAAATGAGGTGTGTTCTATGGCATTCGCCTGACTGGAAGGCAGTCAAGGCCCTCACATGAACCAAAGGACGGCATGGATCTCGGGCCAGTATGGCAGTGAATCTTGCAGTACATGGCCTGGTGTTTATGTAATGTGTTGGCCCAAGGCTGGTCATTCTCAGGGTGACCTAAGGATTTCACTTATTCTACAGAGAGTTTCAGAGTTGGCTCTTATATTATGTTAGGGGCAAAGACTCTAGCCTCCCCATCTGTCTCTGTCGTTCTGTCTCTGTCTCTCTCTGCTGCTCGCTCTCTCTCTCTCTCTCTCTCTCTCTCTCTCTCTCTCTCTCTGTTTCTCTGTCTTTATCTGTTTCTCTGTCTTTATCTCTCTGTTTCTCTCTGTCTCTCTATCTCGTTTAGTGTCTCCCTCTGTCTCTGTTGTTGTTTCTCTCTCTGTCTCTCTGTCTCTGTCTCTGTCTGTCTCTGTCTCTGTTGTCCTCTCTCTGTCTCTGTCTCTATCTCTCTGTTTCTGTCTCTGTCTCTTTCTGTCTCTCTCTATCTCTTTCAGTGTCTGTCTCTGTCATGCTGTCTTTCTCTGTGCCTCTTTATGGCTCTCTTTGTCTCTCTGTCTTGGTCTCTGTCTCTTTCTGTCTCTATCTGCATCTCTCTATCTTTGTCTCTGCTGCCCTCTCTCTGTCTCTGTCTCTGTCTCTGTCTCTCTGGCTCTTTCTGGCTCTCTCTATCTCTTTCAGTGTCTGTCTGTCGCACTGTCTTTCTCTGTGCCTCTTTCTGGCTCTCTCTGTCTGTTTCTGTGTCTATGTTTCTTTCCACGTGTGCTCCTGTTACCCCCCCCTCTTCACCTGCGCTTTCTTCTTCACTTCACCTGCGCTTTCTTCTTCAGCACAGCCTCTGTTGTAGCCTTCTCTCCTCTCTGTAACCCTCCTACTGCCACCTCACACTTCCCACTGGATTCAGACCTTTGCTCTGCCCCTCTAGCCCACTGGGGCTATGTAGCTACAGCACCTGACTAATTTGGGTTGGTATTGTCGTAGAACAAAAGCTGGTGATTCACAGCATTCATAAAACAGACCAGGGTCTCATATCTTATCTACTTAACTGGGTGTGTGGTGTTTTTTTCTTATCTTGTTTTCTGCTCTGTCTGACCATCAAAACATTTATGAAAAGATGTTCTAGGAAGCTGAATCTAATGCAAGCTCTTTGTCTTCCTTTTTCTCAGGAGGGAGACACTCCGAAAAAGACTGCCTCTGCCACCATCACTGTCAACAACACTGCTATTGCCACTGCCACTGTCACTGCTACTGCCACTGTCACAGCTACTGCCACCACTACTGCCACGGCCACCACTACAACTACCACCACTACTATTTCCACCATCACCTCTACTATCACTACTGGCCTCATGGATAGCAGTCACCTGGAGATGACATCCTGGGCAGCCCTGCCTCTTCTGTCCAGCAGCAGCACTAATGTCCGGAGACCCAAGCTCACTTTCGATGACTCGTATGTTGTCCCCACATTATCACAGACAGTTTGAAAGTAGTGATTGGGGGCAGGAGTGTGGGCATTCTGGCTTTTAAAGTGTCATGCATGTGTCACCCCATGTAAGGCCTTAACATCCTGTCCTATAGCCTTAAAAGTATGTTTCTTCTTCTCATGCACACCTCTGGCCTCATCAAGACATGTCCTTGGCCATTATAATCATGAAACTTTGTTACTTTTTCCAAAGGCCACTGCTTCCTTTTGTAGGTTTTTTTTTCTCATCTTTTCTTAACTTTGTCCTCAGACATACATAGATGTAGAGCTAGGTTTTGTGTGACGTATCTGGTAGAGGTAAGGAGTAGGGTTGGAGGATGTGGCTATTTATCCTAATGGGCCATTAGACACTTCAGACTTCATTTACAATATTACTTCAAGGTTGCTTTATGAAATGAATGACAGTATTAATCTGCCTTTTTCAAGGCACTGTACGAAAATGGATGCATAGCAAGTAATGTTTGTGACTTTTTGGTCTTTTGATGAACAGATGAGTCACTGGTTTGTGAAAAAGCTTGTTTCATTTACTTAGGGTTCACAATGCTGATTATTACATGCAAGAGGCTAAGAAGCTGAAGCACAAAGCCGATGCACTGGTAGGTTTCCTTCCACTCATTGCTTCGTTCTTACTGAGTATTATTCTTTGAAAGAAAATAGGAAGCCACTTTGCCAATTTTCAGCAGCACAGTGCAAACCTGCTTCCGAGTGCACTGGCACTCTGACATGGGGACATTGGAACTGCTTGAGTCCTCAGCACAATAATCCCTGTATCTATTTGAACTGGACTGCCCATCACCCTTGTTCCCCACTGTCTTCCGCTATTCCCCACTGCAGAAGCTCACTGTCATATTTAAAGAGAATTTCAAATGACATGTAGAATATCCTGGAGAACAGAGACACTCCAAGTGGGCCCAATCAATAAGCCAGAACTGGTAGGGGGAGTAGAGGGTCTTGAGAGCCAACTAACTGGCCTTAATATCTGGCTTCAGGAAACTCTGATCTGCAAATAAAAAAGCTTGACTGCTTGCTACATTTGGTTATGTGTTTCCAGAGTGAGGCCCACAGCCAGGCCATGAGGCTGAGTGGAGAAAGACAGAGCTACCATCTAGATTTCCCAAGAATCTAGGCCACTTAGTCTAGTGCTAACCTCAATATACCAAACTGATTTAACTTATTCTCTTAAGGATGGGTCTCGCTCACTTGATATAATCACTTGCAAAGCTTAGCCTTTACCACAAACCAAGGCAATCTGAATTTCGGGGACTAGAAGGGTTCAAAATTGGGGTTGTCCAAATGATTCCCAAAAGCAGTTCCTTGATATTGTCTGTCCTGGAGAAGGTCCCCATATCAGGCTTCTGGCCACTGACCAAACCCAAGATCAAGTAGAAGCATCAGTTCAACTCCTGTGAGAAAACTAACACCCTACATCAGTGCATTTTGTCTAGCCAATACTGAGCTACGTTCATCATGGGGAAGGCCAGGGTGGAGTATCCTGACAGCCTCTACCCTACAACTAGTGTGTGGCCAGCATCAAGTGCCCACGGTCCTTAAGTCTGCTCCTTCCTTACTTTCTGTCATTGTCCCCTGTGGTCCAAATTGCTTAGTTATTGTGTATAGCTAACTTTCTGTGGTGTGAATTATCCCCTGGAAATAGCTTTCCCTTACTTTTGTGTCAAAATGACAAAGCAGGATAAAGGTTAGCTGCAGGGGTGATATCAGGCAGATGATGCTGGAGACAATTGTATAGGCGGCAAGAGATTTGAAAGGTGGCAGTGCTGCTGGCTGAAAGACCAAGAGTTCCCTCCAAGTGTCCTCAACTCCACAGTATTTCAGAAGTTCCCAGGAGCCTCCCTTCTCTCAGCATTGGGCTCAGGAGTGCATAGACCTTCCTTTGCAATCTGCCAGCTGAGCTGAAGGCTGGGATGCATGCATGAGATGACATAAGAGAGACATTTGGAGACAGAAAACTGAGAGCCATGGAGATACATGCAGATGATGAAGAATTAATATAATGCCAGGAACAGTGTTGCACATCTACAATCTAGGCTAATTGGGAAACTGAGGCAGAAAGATTCTGTTTGAGGTCAACCTGGGCAACTTGGTGAGACCCTGCCCCCTCAAAAAATATGAAAAACTTGGGGGATAGCTTAGCGGTACAGTGCTTGCCCAGCATGTGCAAGGCCCTGGGTTCACAACCAGGACTCTTTCCCCACAAAGACAACATTAATAACACTACTTTCCACGTTCTGTTTTGATGTGTATCTCTAAGTCATTTGGCACGCAGTCTCCATAGAGGATGCATTCTCAACTGCGGAGATCTGCTCCACGACAAAAAAATTACTTCTAATTATGAGTTAAAACCATTCAATATTACAATAATCAGAGATTTGTAAAGTGGTATGCTTATATAAGGAGATGCTAAATATGTATTTGGTATTCATATTTCACTGAGGGGAAGTCAGGCAAAGTTGTACGGGCCTGAAATCCCTGCTCTTGGGATCCTAAGACCAAAGGAACACAAGTTTGAGTCCCATGTGGAAGGTTTTGAAATTCAGTTCTATAACTAATTAATCAATTAATAGATAGGGCTTAGGGATAAATCTTAGTAGAAAGGCCTATAGTAGCACACACTTTTTTTTTGTGGTACCAGGGATTGAACTCAGGACCTTGCCCTTGCCAGACAAGCACTTATTCTATTGAGCTATCTAACTGGTCCAGCACACAAATTAATTGGGAGAATATAAAACCTCTTTTGGGTTGATAACAATGGTTTTAAAAAAAGGTTCTGGCACACTCAGAGGAATGATATTTTTGCTCATCTTTTGTCTATAATAGGATTGGAAGCACCTTTGTAGTTCCAGGCCCTGATTTATAGATAGGAAAACTCACAGAGAACTAGGGATGTGATCTGCCCATCAATTGGCACTATTTCTATGTCATTTTTTCCCCTCTGACTTCAATTTGTTCTCCTTTTGGAGAAGATGGTCGTGTGTGTGTGTGTGTGTGTGTGTGTGTGTGTGTGTGTGTGTTTCTGGCTATTAAGCCCAGGGCCTTCACACTGAGCTACAGCTCCAGACCTTTTATATTTTTTATTTTGAGGCCGGACCTTACGACATTGCTCATTTGCCCGTTTTCAGCTTGGACATATCATCCCACCATCCAGAGGGCTGGAATCCCAGGAGTGTACCACCACAGCCAGCTGGGTGCGGGGTGATCTGGGAGTGTTCTTCCAGCTATGGGTTTGGGAATAAAAGGTCACTTTCAAAAATCAGGAATCAAACTTAATTTCCAAATGGGAAAAAACACAGAAACTGCAAAAAATAACTTCGTAAGATGAGAGAGAAAGGAGATAGTTTGTCTACGCATACAGAGGTTCTTCATGAACCGTGTTGAATCTGTTTGAAACCAGCACTTTTCAACAGTAGCTGAAGAGAGCAAGCCATAGAATTCCTTCAGTACATGAAAGCTAAAGAACATTTATCATAAAGAGACTCATTTACAATGAAAGATTCTGCAGGAATGGCAACTAATCATTTATACTTGTAGTTAATCCTTTGTCAGAGACAGCTACTCTGCCATTTGAGAATTGAAACTTTCACTATTGTACAGAAAATATTTTGATAAAAAGTGTACAAGAAAATTAAAATAGCTAACTTTGTGCTATATTGGTTCTTTTAAATAAAATATAGTATTAGTGGAAATCTTATATTCAGCTATCAAAAATTGAAAATGTGAAATCCTATTATAAAATACTCACATAAAAGTGTCAAATATAATATTCATTAGACATGAAAAAGAAATCAGTACGTCTAAGTCAGTTTAATCGTGACCATTATCAGGGCTAAAACCTTTTGTGATAAAATTTTACTAAACTAAAATATTTAGCAGTGCTCTATTTTTTGGCTTTCAGACACAATGTTACCCCATCATTTACAATGAAAGTGATGTGGCTACTGTCAATAGTCAAACTTTGGCTGCACATCTTTCATAACAATAGCATCCATCTGTTGCTCTCCTCCTGGGACTGGGCTCGATGCCCTCACCGAGACTGGACATGTTTGTTGACCATAAGGCTTACAAAAAGCAGAGATTAGTCACCAGCACTGTGTAAAGGACACTGTAGTGACTGGCCAGTTCAATGAATTTAGGATTAAAAACTAGTCATGGCCTTGATTTGGCTTCTGGTTCTACAAAATGATGATAACAATGCCACCAATGGCATGGGTTGCCTCAGCTGCAGTTTCCTCAGTCAGCCAGCCTCAGTGTCACGATAGTAGACCCCTAACCTAGCTCTTTCCTCATCACAACCAATTCATCCATTGTGCTCTCTGCTTAGCAGGCTTCCTCAGCCCAGACCCTCTTGGTATTTCAGCCAGCTAATTCTCCTTAGCACAATGTTTAGCAGCATCTCTGGCATCTGCCCCAAAGGTGCCCCATGTCTGCAGCAGTGACAACCAAAAGGCTTTCCAGAAATTGCTAAGTGTTCCACAGGGGAAGGGGATAAAATTACCTCCAGTTGCAAATCATGTGTTTATATGAAGGAAAGATGAGAATATCCCATCGACAAGTGATTTTCCTGTTGTAGTTCGAGAAATTCGGCAAAGCTGTGAATTATGCTGATGCTGCCCTCTCCTTCACCGAATGTGGCAATGCCATGGAACGTGACCCTCTGGAAGCCAAGTCCCCATATACCATGTACTCCGAGACCGTGGAGCTGCTCAGGTGAATAGTCCTTCTCTAGTCATCTTTATGAACTCATTTCAGCTGGAATTAGAAGCCATGATGGGTTTTTTTTAAAGTATCGTTTCTACATATTAATGATATATCCAAAGCATCTTCTTCAGAAGCCATCATAATTAATTCTCACCATTTTATTAATGTCACAGAAAATTTATAATCAGCGGACACTGCTTTTATAAATTATCCCCTTCAGAGGTTATAACATGGGTGTTATAATTTGTGCTCTTCATAAAATTAAAATGGAAATTACAGATCGAAGTAAAAAAAAAATCATCATCTCTCGATCGACTTGTCTTTTCGAGGGTACAGTTTTATAATTCAAAACAAAGTGGTGCTCTCAGGATTTCTATTACAGGCTGTGTTTTCTAGGAATTTCAATCTTGGTTATTAAAAAGGGAGGGGTACTATTGCAACTCAAAGTCAACACAGCAGCCTGCAGGTGTAGCGCAGACTTTCTCTAGCTTTGGAATAAGAAAAGCACACAAGGTAGTGGCAGGGGCAGGGTAGAGATGAGAGGGTGTGAAGAGAAAGAGTATATTAATTGCACACGTTATTGGTTCCATTTACATTTTAAATGAAATTTTCTGGCCTGTTGGTCTTGGTGGAGGAGAATTTATGGGAAATTAAAAAAATGTCCTAGAAGCAGATGAAGATGATATAGGCGAGAACGAAATATCCAGTCTGGTGTTTTCAAGTGATTTGCAAAGATTAGTAAAAGGAGTTAATCCACGGCAGCATACTAGATAAGTACCTTCATTCACAGGATGGACTCATCATCCCTGTTAATTAAGTGAGTGGTTCTTTACCTGAGAGGCCTTCTGTCCTGTTCCCCTTCCACACCATCACTCAATAATGTCAGGCTTGGTTTATATTCTTGTGCTTATTCTATCTGAATAAACGGTCACAAATCTGAGTATACTTGTACCTAAGCCTTCAACCAAGTATCGAACAAATTTAATGTGCACATTTTCCCACTGAAGCATTCCAAAAGATGAAAAGAAAAAAAAAATTACAAAACCCGACTCTACTTGCTCAGAATCGGAAGTTTAGTTAGAAACACAAAAATAAGGAGATTCTAGCTTTCTGTTTGATCTGCTCCTAGACTTAGGTACCAGAGGAGGTAAAGAATTTCTCTTCATTTACTTCACACACTGTAAGATCCATTACTGCACCATGTAGGAGTTTTCAAGGAGAATTTAATTCCTTAGTGTCTATCTGCAATTCTTAGAGTTACATCAGGTGAATATTCTGGTCAAAAATTATGATTCCAAACTTGAGGGAGAACATTAATGAACAAAGACAGAGACCACAATGACTCTCTAGTCATTCAAATTGAAAGAAGACATATTAAATGAACAAAAAAAGAGGATGATGTTCGCACCTAACATTAGCAGAAAAAAAGAAAGCAAATCAGAATGAACTATGTCTCTCTTACACTGCACACAGGAGTAGACATGGATCACTGGAGAATGAGAGCTATTGGGGGCTGTACAAGAAAAGCAGTGCAGCCAACTTTTCAGCCTTTTGGTCTAGTACTTCTACTTCTAGAAATCTGAATTTCCTCTATTGAAGAAGATTGTAACAGTGCAAGAAGTTACCTGTTTGTTGTTTGGTTTGGCATATATACATATACATGTATATACAAATATGTGCACGCAATTACATGTGGATAATATATATATATATATTATATATAATATACTTACATTATATATACATAATTGGAAGCAAGTCAATGCTAGAAGAGTAAGTAATTACATCATAAAATGTTCAACAAGGCTTTGCAGGCATTGCAATAAAATAATGGTAGAGGGGCTAAGTAGCACAGGAAAATTTTTATAAAATGACTTAAAGTAAAATTGAGGTTGGGTTTGGCTCTGTTTTACAGCACTTATCTAGCATGTGGGAGACCCTCAGTTCCATTCCCAGCAGTGAGAAAAATAAAATTCAAACTGCAGAATTATATGCACAGGACGATTATCATGAAAAGGTCATATATGGCAGGATCATACTGGAAGGGAAACGACATCAGGTCTGATAGGGAGGCAAGATTCACGTGTTCTCTCTGTATGCATACAATCTTTCTTATTAATTTCTTTTTGAAGAAAATACATGCACTCAAAAATATAAAAAGCAAAACACCAAATTTATTGTGTGGCCAAAGTGTGACGTAAGTCACTAAGTAACATTTATTTCCATTAAAAAACATTTTGTTTACCTTGTTTCCAAACACTTCTTTTGTCGAAATGTAATTTACTGTTCCATTATATATTTCACTCCCCATGGGTATATATTTCAGTAAAACCCGGTGAAAGTCAGCAGAGTTGTTGGAATTCATCTCTAAATCAATATATTTAAATTTTATTTTGAGGTAATTGTGTACAGTTGGAGAAACTAATAGAGTTGTTCTGCACCCTTCACCTGTGTCCTCCAAAGCTACCATCTTTGCATAGCTGGGCTAAGTTTCACAACCAGAATACTGACACTGACACAAGGCATAGACTGTTCCGATTTCACCAGTTGTATTTATTGTTCCAGATTTTCTCAGTTTCTCATGGGCTCATTTTTGTGTCTTACCTACATTTTTTATTTTTGTATTTTCTATAAGCTGCATGTGTGGATGTTTTTCAAATGAGAGAATTTTCAGTAGGGAATAAAATGAGTTTAAGCAAGTAGGTCTTCTGGTTCACTTATGCAATTGAAACTCCACTATCAAGTCACTTCAAATGTGTTTGCAATTAGAGGGTGACTGTAATATGAACATAGTTTCTAGCAGTGCAAGATTATGTTGGAGAGATTTTTATTACTCTCTCCCCGACAGTATACTGACTGTGGAGAGAAAGCCCCATTTTTTTTTCATTCAAGTAATTATAGTTGCTCTGCGCCCTGGGCATCTGCAATGGAAATGTATTTGCAAAACCAAGTGGGGCATCACAGTGGCTTGACATTTCAGTGATCTAGCTGTCAAGAAAACTCAGATTTATTACATAATAAAAATCTCTTTGCTTAATATTGCAACAACAGAAGGGACCCACATGAAGTGTGAGAGTCCTTTGTCGGAAAATGTTGAGGCAACAGAACTAGAGCAGGAGCCCAGTGAGAGAAGAGATAGAAGGCAAAGGAGGTCCAAAATCTTGGGGCTTGAGCTGGGGTCCCCAGATGAAAGTGAGCCATCGGGTAGGCAGCAGTGGCATCCCGCAGGCTCCCTGATGCTTCCTCATAAATGACAAGTGGTGCAGGCTGCTTGCTCACGCACTGGAAACTTCCTTCTGCCGCACTGAACTCCATTACTTATTCTACCACAAAGACCTGTGAAATTGCATTAAAGCTCAGACAATGATTTTATGCAATGAATTGATTTTCAAGAGTCTAAATGCCCAGAGTGGAATGTGCTTGGGTAGAAGAAAAAAATGAGAACTACTCAACCTTTTATCACCCCAGTATGGAACAGTAGCAATTAAAGAGAATGGAAAGACAAAATATACAAGGACCATAAATTAAGGATACTTAGGCCTTAAAATGCTGTGAAATCGACCTTCCTTTAAATTAAGGGAAAAGAGCTTTCTTTAAGAATATATTCAGAACCTGAGCCATTAGAACAGACCCTTTAACTGTGTGATTGAGGTTTCCCCGTGCCCATGTGAAACACTTGTTTATTGTTTGCATCATCCCTCATAAACTAAGCAGAAACTTACATTTTTGTCCATCTTTCCTTGCAAATCAATGATGTCCTTTTGCTACAATAGTCCTAGAAACAGTACTTCGCCAGCACACACACAACAGCTCACAGTGGCGCCCAGCACTGTTCTGCCACATGGACTTACGATTTCATTGACTCTTGCGGAGCTTAGATCTGGATGACACATCAGACATGTGATGTTTTGACCATCATTTTCTGTATGTTTTCAGCAAAGCACTGGCCAGTGTTTCTGCCCCATGCCAACACACTGAGGCCATCACAATGCCACCTGTTTGGGGTCATATCTGAAGGGTAGCCCAGATTCCACTTGAATTTTTCCTTTCTCTCCAAAGGTATGCAATGAGGCTGAAGAACTTTGCAAGCCCCTTGGCTTCTGATGGAGACAAAAAGCTGGCAGTACTATGGTGAGTCCTTGCATCCCAAAGAGACCCCAAGGGAACAGCTGAGATACCACAGAATGATTTGAAAACTCCAGATCACTTTAAGCTGCAATCCTCAGCTTACCATTCTTATTTTCCATTGAATTGTGGAAGACAAACTAGCAGATATTTTCAGTCTCTAAGCATTTACTTTGCTAATTTGTACCTTATCAGAGTGGGGTTTTAGTGCTGCTCTCTTCTTTCTTTTTTTCTTTTTTTGGCGGAACTGGGGATTGAACTCAGACCCCTGTGCTTGATAGGCAAGCACTTATTCCACTGAGCTGTCCCCCCGGTCCCTGCCATCTAAACGTAGGTAAAAATCTGCAACCTCTGAATCAGCACTGTCCCCAGGTCTCCTTGGCGTGAGCATTAACAATCTTTACATTATCGCTGCAGCTACCGATGCTTATCACTTCTCTACTTGAGGATGTTTAAACTGAAGAAGGACCATGCTATGAAATACTCCAGATCACTGATGGAATATTTTAAGGTAATTCTCATTTGGTATAATTCCTAGATACAGGGTGATAAAAAGCACTAGTGAAACATGACAGGCAGATTACCAAATGTCAGATGACAAAGGCAAGATTATTGCTGTCAAAGGCTTAACTTCTCTCATCCAGTCTGGCCACGGCTGTCCCACTCCTCCCTCAGGGCTCAGCAGACAGCTCACATCCAGGGAACACCTGCTGATTCCTGGCTGAAAAGGTACACTAGTGCAACTCCCCTGACTGTTTTTTGCCTTTGGCAGCTGCTCGCTTTTATTCCGTGGAATTTTGCCTCTACCCACCTATAGGGTGGGTACGGTTTGTGTCTGTGGGGATGGCCCACCTCTTGTTAACCAAGACAAGGCTAAGATTTCTTCAGCAATAAGAGAAGTCACTGTGGTTGTCCTGGCTCAGGGTAGACGGCTCTACCCTGAAAGCCCTTTAGTCATGGGGCATATTGGAGTGCAATGGCTATAGTTTAAGACAATCGATTGCTTTGGTTACCAAAACAACACAGACAAATAAAGCCATCATCAAGGTAGCGGGAACTTTTTCATTTGTAAGTAAGACAGTAAAAGACAGGCAGTCACAAAATGCAATGCCAAAATTTGGGAGTGAGCGCAGAAAAACCTTGTAAGCAATAGCTGCGTACTAGCTAGGATTGGCCACTATGCCATCCACCATTGCCCTGTCGCCTGATGCTAGCAAAGATTGGGAGCTGGGGAAGCTTCATGCTCCCTTCTGTTGGCCAGGTCTTAAAAGAAAAAAATATTTTTCCCTTCTTTTTGCCACATGCATAAGACCTCTTGTCTAAATTGCACCTGAGCAGTTGTTTCAACTGAATCAAATCATGACTATAGCTTTGGGACAGGACCTGAAAAATGCATTTCCAACAACTTGCCATGTGATGCTGCAGGGGCTGGCATTGCAGTTGTACTTCCAAATCCACTGCTATGGTATCTATCTCTATGGCCTGCCCCACGCAGCTTTCAGAGATGCTAAGTAACCTGTTCATCTGGGAGCATGCAGGGAAGCACTGCCCTTCTACTGAATTCCTAAAGGTGCTGAGCCTGTCTCTTGTATGCCTTTTGCAAAGGGGACCAGGCTGGAAGCTGAGGGGCTGTTGAGGAGCACCATCTGGGCTGTGTCTACCCAAAGCAAGACTAAGTGAGGCCCAGTGCTGCAGGTGTCCTGGCTATCCGCTTCTTGAGCTTTAGCCTGATTGCCATCCTGTCATGGTGATGACCGATATCACCCTTCCCTCTGTTTCACAATGCGTGGCCATGGAAGTACAGGAAGTGGATTCTTTGCAGCAGTCCAGTTCCAGTAGAGGGACAAAAGAATGTTTGTTCTGCCTTCCACATTCCATTACATTATAGCTCAGGATGGGCTGCATTGCTAAACAAGTCATCAGCTGTGAGCATTTGCACGTAAACAGAGCAAATCAAGATGATTCCTGAAAACAAACTGAAAAGCAATGCTTGGCTTTGGCACATTCTCGGAATATCACAAATTAGAGCCCATCCTGTATCCCAGGAAAAAAGTTTGCAACTGGAGCTAAAGGTGAAAAGCTTACTTGTACTCTGAAGAGCTTGTTTTGCAGAATAAATTTCAGATGACGATAATTAAACCACTTCTTGGAGAACCGAGTCTGATTTCACTGGGCCTTTTAGTATCTAAGATCTTTCATCAAGTGACTTTCATGGTCCTGATTGGAGCCCACTAATTATCCTAAGCAGCTATTTTCATCGAGTGTGCGACGTGGTGTGCTGACGTGCACATACAGCCCAGCTCTGCCTCCCGAAATGCTGCAATCAATATTAATGTTCTCTAAATCACATTTCCATCTGTTTCTGAATTAATAAAACACAAAATAGATGTCCTTATTTCCCTCTCTTTCTCTTTCTTTTAGCAAAATGCTTCAAAAGTTGCACAGATACCATCTCCATGGGTAGGCAATGGCAAGTAAGTATTGTAGAGAAATTGCTTTTGCATTAAAATCACTGATGGAATAGAACCCACATACTTTGCCCTGACAACTCAGGAGCGAAGGTCAGTTTCAAGACAGTTGTTTGTGTGCAAGGAGACATCTAGATAGGTATCAGTTGATGGCACAGCAGGAAAGTTGAAAATGATGTTGTTCCAACTTCTTTAACTATTTGCACTTTAAGCCAAATGATGACCATAAAAATATTTGCTAATGAGATGCAAGCTCTATGCCATTTCAAGGAGGCAGGGTCAAGTTAACTCCACTGCAGTGATTTGTCAATGATTTGCTTAGTAATGAAGACCAATGAAATATTCATTGATATATGATAAGTGCTGTTTAATAAAACTAAAGCCATAATAGAGCTGAAAATGTGAAAGCACTTAGTCAGCCAATTATCTGAGCCTTCCTGATGATTTTTATATTAATACTAAAATACCATGACCTACAATATAAAAGCGTCTACTCTAATGCCAATTCGAGGCTCAATGAACTCTCCCAGGTCCACGGCTTTAATCAGATCTTTTACTGCATGGCACTGGTGCAGAGGTCCAGAAAACATTGACCTGGACCTGAGGTGTTCCAACCTCTGTCCTCTATGTTTGTTTCTCTCTCTCTAAAATGGAAGGGCTGGAACTCGCCCGTGTCTGCATAAGCCATAAGGGACATTCTTTATGGAGGATGGTTTTGAATCCAGTTCTACCTGTGCCATGAACCAGCCAGATACCTTTCCGAACTCACCTCAGCATCCCTGTGTTTTAGGATTCCAAATCCTTCCTCCCTGCTCAAAGTGCACCAGTAGTAGGAAGGGAATCTAGATGACTGTGGACAATGACTTCTCAAAGCACCTGCTTTATGAATCCAAGCTCCATTTTCAATTTCTCATCATTTCAACATTCTTGCATCTCTGATCAAAACCCTTTCTTCAAGAGTAATGTAGTCTCCACTGTTACTTTATAAATATCTACAAAGAATACTCCAAAGGCAGTGGGACAATGAGCTGTACTTGGAGGTCATAAAAAACATTCAGAGCAAGGGAACAGAATCATTAAAAACTACACATTAACTCAATTACTGTATTGAAGGGAGCACTGTTTAAATTGTTGAACTAGATCCTACTCTTACATTGATGAACAAAAGGGAAAGAATGCTTCTCTCTGGAAGTTCAGAAAATAAAAATAACCATTGAAGGGCCCATAGAAAGCTATCTTTTCTAAGCACAGAATGAGGCAAGCGCAAGGTCAGGTAAGCAGCTATTAAAGGTTCATTGGGAAAAAATTAATTCTGAAATGAAAGATCTCAAACACATTTTAAGCTTGTGAAGTCACATCAAAGCCTCCTGAAATGATTTGTAAGCAGCTACTATCTGAAGCAAGCACCCTTTCTTTACTTTCTCTAGTAGGCTGCTTTAGATTTTGAATGAAGCAACTCTAAATAGTCACCTGGGGGTTAGATCCCATTCACTCTGCAGACCCTTCAGAGGTACCTGCTCCATGCCAGGCCCTATACAATGGGCTGGCGACACAGAGAGAGAGGGTATGCGGTCCTTGCATGCCAGGAGAATACAGTCCAGTGGACAGAAGTGACAAAGTGCTGAGGAAGGCAAGGAAGACGAGTTTGGGTATTCCTATGTGGCCAGAGAAGGCTCCTTGCCCACAAGCTCAGTTATGCCCCATGAGTGAAGTTTCCTAGTGAATGAGGATGCTGGGCCCTACCAGCCACTCCTCACCATACTTTCCTGGGGCAGCACCTTCGGGCTGCAAACTCTCCTTAGCTGGCTGGCAATGGTGAAGGCATTGGCCAGAGGCGCTCATCATGCCTTAATCCTGCAGCAGGGCCCCACGAGTGTATGGAGAGGCAAGCAGCATGTTTGAAATAGACGTCCGGAGCTAGCTCCATAATGCTGGGGGAAGAAAGTGCAGAAAAGTAAACAGAGCTGAAAAATCTGCCTGTGTAGGGAAAAGATAGTACATATTCTGAGCTTTGTAGGCCCAGAGGAAAAACCAAGACTATTATGCACAAGATTTTAAGAGCAAAAAACAAATTCATACAATTTTACTGATGAAATTCAGAATATAATAACCAGTGCAATTTTTGAAATATAAGTCTACTAATCAGTGGGATAAAGTTCTTTTTTAAGTAGTATTTCATTCCACTGGGGCTCAGATGTAGTGTTCCCTCGCATCAGATTAATTGCAAATGTTCATCTTTTCAATGTACCCACAGTTCACATGCTGTACAGAAATGGGAGGCAGGCCAGATTTCCAGACCCATGACAGGGAGTTCTGGAAGCCAGTGTAGAGAACTGAAAGGAGCTGGGCACTAATCTCATGAGTCAGAAAGAAATAATACAAAAAGAAGGCAACTGAATTTTGAAAGGAGCTATTCAAGGCCCTCTAAATGGGTGGATTCAATGGACAGGTGGGTGTGGATTCCATGGTAAAGCGAGAAGCAGGGTCATCCTCACTTGTTTCAGGTTTTGTCCATTCCAAAAGGATGCAAGTTTCTGGGAGTCATACAAAGAGTCCTGCAGGTGAGGCAAAACTTTCTCTCCAAGCTTGGAGGGGGTTCTGTGTGTGTGAGCATAGATGACACTAGAAATGTCCGATGTGTACAAAGATGACGTGCAGGTAAACACGCAGCTGATGAAAGAATTTGAGGAGACAAGATGGAAAGGAAAAAGAAGGAGCTTTGGAGGAAAACATAGCTGCTGTCACATCTTGGATCTTTGGGGAAATTGTTGTGTGACCCTCAGGCAGAAGTGGAGCTTCTGTGAGACCGTGGCAGCAGAAACTTCCCTGTGGAATATCCTGAGCCCTTAGAGATAACACTGATGAAGCCCTGGGAAATATGCTTGACGCCCATTGGTGCTCAACACATGGTGGCTTAGTTGCTGACACAGTTATTGTTGGCATTGTAACCTCTTTAGTTGGATAACAGAAGGAATCCTTCCCCCTGACCTTCTGCAATCCTTGGTCTATGCTCACTTTTGGCACTTGATATTGTCAGAAAATAATGAACTTTGCTCTTCTTGTAAACATTTCTCTTCTAAAATAAGGAGCTAGTCATCTTTTAACCTGCAAAATATCTATTGTGTACCTACTGTGCATGAGAACTCTGCCAGGCTCTTTTCAAACACCTCCACCATCCTTGTCCTGCCCAGGCTGCTCCCTTTCTACTCTTCATACTACTCTCCATGTAGCAGATACTGAGCAAGGAATAGGGGAAATCCATTCCTGTTTTAAGTTGGTGTTCACTGAGTCCATATTATGTGCCAGGCACTGTTCTAGAGCTGGAGTATAGCGCAGGATAATAAAGACAAAACTCCATGCTCCCATTGAAATCACGTTCTGTTGAGGGAGAAACACAACTAAAAATAAGTGAACACTACATGATAGTAAAGGTCAGGGAGAAACTGAAGCAAAGAAGGAGGACAGAAAGGGATGCTTGAGGAGAGGGGAAAGAGCAGCTATCCAGTCTTGAACAAGCAAATTAGGAAATGATGGCAGTAAAGCACACCACGCAAACATCTGAGAGAAATGCATCCCAGGTAAGAAGACCGGGGTAAGGATCTGGTGAGCTGAAGGACAAGCAAGGGCTTAATGTGGCCACAGGGGAGCACAGTGCTTGCAGAATAAGTGGTGAGAAGTGTGTGCTTGACGGTGCTGTTCCCTGGCCTGTGGCTTGGATGTGTGTGGGAAAGGGCAAGATCTGTGAACAGAGCCATAGCAGAGAACAGTAGGGCTACCGCGATAGTGGTAAGGGCCAGCCTGCAGCTGCAGGGCATGCCATGGAGGAACTCGAGCTCCGCTGATGCCCTTTCCTTCCCACAGTCACAACCCCTTAGGCACAGTGTCAGTCTTTCACTTCCTGATTGCACTGTTCTGTGCACACCTGCACATCTGAGTGGCGGGTGATAGACCCTAGTCTGAGCACAGCAATGACCCCAAGCAAAACCTCTCTTTCTGCCTCTGTGGTTGAATATTTCAAAGAAAGAAAGAACTACATAGAAAAGAAAGCCACTCATAGCACTTAAGTGTAATAACGGGAAAAAAGTTTTTAATTGACATCCAATAATCATGTCCACTTATGAGATGCGGTGTAATGATTCCACACAGATAGCTGTTTAGTGATCAAATCAACTGCATGTTGTACTATGAATAACTACTATGAAGACAACAATATGCAAGGCATTAATCATTGTAACTGTCCTACTGACCTTTTTTGAAATTGTCTCATTGCTATTTCTTTCTCAATGAAAGTAATTTTAAAAGTGATCAAATCAAAGTAATCAAAATGTCCAACTTCTTAAATGCGTATCACTTTTTTTTCTACTGGGACCCTTCGAGCTCCTTTCTTGTAGCCTGAAGTAGCCATGGTTCTACTTCCTGTTTTATGATGTCACTTTTGTGTTTTGCTTCCATATATGAGTAGAAAAGGGCTTTTCAAAATATCTGAAGTAGAGAGGGGATTGGCTTGTCCTTATGATTTCTGGACATGATTGGAAATCACTGAATCAAGCTTCTGTTTTAGTCTAGAAAAAGTAAGGCTTAACAAAGGAAAGGGCTTGCTGAAGAGCAGTTTTGTGGCAGGGCTAACGCTAGAATCGAGGTCTATCTGGATTTCAGTACCACAGTCTCTTTTTTCAACATGTGTGGCACCTGACAGTGTTGTCACTTTCACTAGAGATTACAAATGAAGAAACATTCCTTTCTTGCCATAAATTTACATTTAGGACTTAATGACCACTTCTGGCAAAAAAGAAAGTAGCGTTCACAACTACGACACTAAAGAAACCCAGCCTTCCCTGCTTGTTTTGTCATTAGCAAGACTATTCTGTACCTTTCCTTGGGCATCTCCCCATCTTGCACCTACCTTGAGAAAAGAAAATATTTCTATCAATAAGTCAGAAAGTATCTCAGAAACCATAAGCATAGCAGGAAACCCTCATACGTTCTTAAATTAGGCAAGTACAGAGCAAGTGCAAGGATGCACTCTCCCTTGAGACCAGACTATACAGAAGATGCATTCTGTCAGCAGAAATGCTTCTTCCAGGCGCTGCTGTGGCCACAGGGATGGTGGCTGTGAATCTCTAGGAGAGCATTTCAGCTGTGATTGCTCCCTCTACACTCAGAGCTCCTCCATAGCACTGCATTGTGTGGGCATGTTGTGATTGCTGCTACTGCAAATCGGATGTGTGGCCTGCTTGTCAGGGTGTGCATCTTCTGAGAGCAGGTGTAGGCTCTGTGAAACACAGCCATCTTGGAAAATCTAGAGTTGCCAAGGACAGCTTCTGGTAAGAAGATGTGGGTTGGGGATGGCACAGGCCTCCCTGATGATGTGCTGGAGTGTAGGTAGGGTTCTTTCAAATATACAGACAGTGGGGATCACAAACACTGCCAGCAGGCCTTCCTTCCCTCCTTCCTCCTTCCTTCCTTCTTTCCCTCCTTCCTTTCCTCTTCCTTCCTTCTTTCTTTCTCTTCCTCCTCTTTAGTTCTCCCTTCTCTTTTCTTTCTTTCCTTTTTTTCAGGGAACAGTCTTGCTATGTTCCCCAGGTTCTGCTCAAACTCTGACCCTCAAACTCTCAGCCCAGCCTCTACAGTAGCTGGGACTATAGGCATGCACCCAGCCTCTCATTTCTTGTACTTCTTCAAAATGTCCCGTGTTAGAGTGGTCCATTTGCCTGGGAAATTTTTCAATGTGTGACTGAGGGAAGATAAATAGGATGAGGGGCACAGAGACCTTACTGCCATACCAGAGATGCCACTGATGCATTAAGGACAGTCCCTGGGAATGTCTACATTGGGCGGCGTAAGCCCAGGCCCTGGAAGAAAAATATTCCCTTGCTGCGTGCAGCCTGAAGGGAACTTCTTGTTACTAATGTTGAAGAATGCAATAAAAGTTTGCATCCAGACACTGGTAGTACCCACAGTAGGAAGTGTGAGGCCTTCTTTTTTCAGACTGGCATGCAAGTGAGCAGTCACCAATTGACATCCCATCTCTGTAGTGTGTCTTAAAGAATCCTAAAGAATTCTGTATTTTACAACTTCCCCAATACTGCTCTTTGGGGAGCTTTTAAGACTTGCACTCGCCTTACTGTGGTAACAGTATTTGGAACAAACTGTCATTGTGGTTTGTACAAAACACTTTGATAATAGACCAGTATTGCATATCAAGTGTTTTCTAACTGCCAGTAGCCATTCTGGCAACCAGTAGAGAAATCCTCATAGCTCTGAGCTGTCTCTTTCTCTCAATCATCACAATATTTGTTATATATATATTCAAAGTGATCACCATATATGTAGAGAGAATTAATGTCAAAGATTCACCTAGTATTCTCTGTGCTTGAAAATGAAAGCAGCAGTGTGCACGGGGCCCTCAGTAGCTGGCAGAGACAGTTGAGAACTTAAGTGTTTCAGGTTAGAAATGGCCCAGCACTGGAGTCCCGGCCTGGGTCATCAGAGGAGGCAGAGTGGAGGGGGTGAGGGTAACAAGCTCTCTCTACACCACAGTTTCTGGAGAAGGCCCTTCTCTATACCACAGTTTCTGGAGAAGGCCCTTGTGCAGACAAAGGTTGAACAATGTGCTCTGAGAAGAGCCACAAGGAGTGGAGACAACCTGCCCTCCAGTGGGTCTTCAAACCTGTTTGCCATGTCCAACTTTGCCCTGGTACACAGTATTCTTAGGAGATCCCAGTGTAAGCAGGGAGGCCTAGAAGCCTGCTGTCACTCTTCCTCTCAGCCTAACCAGCCACGTCTCTTTCCATTCTCCAGGACCACTCCTTCCCCAGTGTCTCTCAACAATGTCTCTCCCATCAACGCAGTGGGGAACTGCAACAATGGCCCTGTCACCATCCCGCAGCGCATTCACCACATGGCCGCCAGCCATGTCAACATCACTAGCAATGTGCTTCGCGGCTACGAGCACTGGGACATGGCTGACAAACTGACAAGGGAGAACAAAGGTATGCCTGTCCATGCCTCCCATGTGCCTTAGACCCTCACAGACTCACCTGTGCTTTGAAGGACTTGGAGTTCCTTTGGTGGCCTTCTGTCTTTCAATTTTTCTGATTTCCCAGGCTTAGATAAGAGAAAGTAGGCTTTGGGCTGATTCAGTGATCTATTTTGCAGAAAGAGTGAATAAAGCCTGCAATTTGATTCTCCCTTAATGGTTAAATGAATCTGAGCTGTGGTGTATATGCAAATAAATATTTCATATATTACTTAGTGACAGGGGCCAACAGAGAAACAGATGCAAAGGGATAAAGAATGATTTGCAAATTAATTAAGATCTGGTTGGCTTCTGTCAACTGTATTTTTTTTTTGGAAAGGTAAGGTTGAACTGAAGCTGTCGACCTTCATTATAATCATCAACTCTAGTTGAATGTTTGACGTTATAGCTTGCTTTTGGAAACAAAGACCAAGCTCAGCTAATATTTTGTGCACATCCACAGCTAGAATGAAGGATCAGGCCCCATTTATGGGAACATACGAAGTTTGCTACAAAAGAAAGAGGAGGATCCAGGTTCCCTAGAGCATGGGGCAGTGATCACTGGTGACTGTGCTGCTGTAGCCTTAACTGTCATTTGTGCTCACAATGAACAGTCACCATCCTAATGAAGTAATAATAAAAGCATGCTTTTGTCCTGGTCTCTCACCGGACTTAGCTAATTCTCGCCCAGTAGTCGCAAGGAACAGATGTGGGCCTTTGAAAATCAGACTATAAAGAGGTGACAAGCAGTATAGAGTAGTAGAACTTTCTGGCCCATTGTGATCAAAGCGGATTGGGGTGGCCTTGGGTGCTACTAGGTCTCAAGCAATTACATAGATTTCTGAGCATCAAGCTGAGGATACAGGCCACATATATGGAGTGGCCGTGTTCATGGGGTTGACTGAGAAAGAAGTACTAGATCCCTTGGCTAAATTCTTCTCCCAAGACCAGCCCCCATTCTCCCCAACATCCTCATATCCCAGGGAGCTCTCCTTCCCGTCCACTCAGGCCCTGAGTTTTCAGCCTGTTTCTCTTCCTCATCTCAACCTGCCAGTCTAGTGTTTAGGTTGCTTCTCCCAGGAGCCTGATCACGGATTGATACAAAACCTTCCCAACTCCTTCTTTTTTGTTACCCATTGCTATTGCATTGCTGAGCATGTGTGTCCAAACCCCCTAGAGTGGGAAGAATGCAGAGTTCACAGCCTGGAAATTTGAAGCCCGGATCATGCACTACCTGGACAGCCTTTGCTAGGTGCTTCAATCTGTGAACTGCTTCATGGCATCCATCTCTTTAATGGATATAATAGTGATGAAGATGTCAAACCAACCCAGGAAGGTGATAGAAATTAATGAAATAATATATGTAAAGCATGCAGTGTCAAACTTAGGTGCAAAGTAGAAATCCTAGAAATAGGTATTCTCTGTGTTAACCCATAGTATTATCTATCTGTGCAACTCAAAGATTCTCTGTACATCAAAGCACATTCCATAGTGTAAGACTTAAGCCCTCAGCCCAGCTATAAACTTATACCAACTTCTGAGAACATGTGCATGTGCTGCTACATGTGTTTGTTTTCCAGTTTTTATCCCATATGCTGCACTATTTGCTTATTTTTGTCTCATTTACCTTATGTGATAGATGAAGAAATTAAGGTTAAGTGAGGCTAAGAAAGACATCCATGGTAAAATAGCTCTTTATGTTTGTTAAAAGCAGGAATTGTATTTTTTTTCTTTTTCTTTCTTTTCTTTTTTTTTTCCTGGAACGGGGGATTGAACTCAGGCCCTCACGCTTGCCAAAGAAGCACTTATTCCACTGAGCCATCTCCCTGGCCCCAGGAATTGTATTTAAAAATACCTGATTCCAGAGTTTTCAATCTTAACTAATAGGCTACAGAGCCATTCTAGAAAACAGGATTAATAGCAGGGCCTCCAAGACCCTCAGTGTGATCCTGAGCCTCCAACTGGGCAATATGTAATTTTTGCCTTGTCCAGTTTTGTTTTTGTTTTTGTTTTTTTTTTGTTTTTTGTTTTTTTTTGGTACTTGAATTTGAACTCAGGACCTTGTGCCACTGAACTATCTCCCCAGCCCCTTGTCTGCTTTTCTATAAGTGTTTGGAAATCTAGAAGCAACTGGCCCAGACGAGGCCCATCTCGGGGTTCTAAGAATTGCAAGCAAAGCCAGAAACATTTTAAGATTTATCTAGCTTGTTTCTGTTCACATTTTCTGTCTTATTTTGTGTTAGTAATTGGAAGGCAGTTCAATGTTTCTAGATCCCCTTTATAATTACATCCATTTTCAAAATCTGTTAAAGTCATTCTTTCTAAATTGCCGAACTTTCAACACGCTGTCTGTGCTGATGTTGGGGCGAAATGGTGCTTGTCTTGTCACTAGCAGAGCCTATCAAAGAGGAGCTAAATTCTCTGCCTAATATTGAAATAAAGCAACTCTGTTGTTCTAGCAGAAAAGAGAGGAGTCCTGGGGAAGGGTCTACAGGGTATCCAGGGTCTCAGTACTAGATCGGACTTGTAGTGATCCACCTGTTTACAGATTCCCTGAGAGCTGGGATTTCGGGATGCATACCGCCACGCCCTGTCTCAATTGCAGTCTCAGTGTGCCCTGGGGGCGGGGCCGGCACTGCAGGCCCAGCGATAGAACTCCAGCCCCTGCGCCTGCTTGCAGGTGTTTTAGTATGCTGAGGTATTTGGCCAGCCCTGTACACATATCTCTGATCTGCCTAACTGTGGAGACACTTCTCACAATGCATTATGCAGAGAGATGAAGGAACAGAGGAGCTTCTCGTCTGATTCCCATCCGTATACCGTTGCAGGCAGCCATGTACTTGCACTGCTTCCAACCCAATGTGCCATGGACATGAATGACATTGGGTTCTCTCAGCAAAAGTGCGCCATCCCGACCCCTAGCTGCCCACCTGCAAAGCTGTAGCTCACTTTTGCACTCTGACCTGGTGCTCATTCAGGCCTTTGGGGCCGATGCCACCCTCTGACCTTGGATCTAGAAACCTCATTCCCTACCAGCCCCAACTGTGTGCACTAAGGCAGTCATTGAAATGATGACCTGAGTATGTGGTTAAGAATGCCACAGAGAGCTTTGGACAAAATAGCCAAGGAGTGCCCTGGCTCTTACGAAGGTTGCATTCGCTCTACACTAACTAGGTCCTTGCATACTTTTCCTTAGTATTGTATTACCTAAGAAAATATTTTGGATGCCAGAAATAATTTACCTCTTTGTCAGTAGAAATTCCTTTTATTGCCTAGTACAGGTTAAGAAGCATCACATAATCAAATGAAGTTGACACCTCGAGAAGGAGCCCATACGTTATACATAGCATGAAGAATAAATGCGTTATTTAGTGAGAAATCATTTGCTGAGCAATCAGGCATGGGCAACCCACTCGTGGAAGTTGCTTTCCAAGAAGGCAGAGGAGCGTCCTAACCACTTGAGCGCAAGCTCTGGCCCCAGCCCTGCCAGGACCCAGAGTGCTCACCCTCGGCTGGCACAGGCTTGTGGCTAAAGGCCGCTCCTTCCTCCCAGCAAAGGGGAAGCCAGAAAACCCTCTGCTAAGCAAGTGTCAGTCAAGCAAATTCTCAAGGAGAGGGGACACCTAGCTAGTTTTTAGCTATTATATCATGTTGCCCACATATACTCCTCTGTGTAGGGCAGACAGTCGCAGGCCCCAGTCACACAGGTGTGTAGCATAACCTCAGGGCTGTGTCCTTCTTCAGATCAGACAGAGGGACTCAGCTGGGCCCTCTGAACATTTATGTTCTGAGTGGGGGGAAGGTCATGGGACACATACTCTCAGGTCCCAGCCCAGCCCAAATGTAATCAGTAAGATGTGCTAAATCCAAGCTATCCAAGATATTTACTTAGCTTTGGACGCTGTTGGCTATAATTACTGTCCAGGTTAAGCAGTTTTATCTGCACTGTTACAAGAAAAATCAGTAAATTCAGTTCCCTGAAAAAACAAATAGGATTCACACTTCAACAATTTATGGAGTCACCAAAAACTCCATTAACTTATACATCGTGATAGCCATAAGGACTCTGTTGTGCATTCAGGATTCATTTTTTTTCTTCATTTTTTAATGTATTTTGTACAGGGTCTATAGGGTCTTACTACACTGCTCAGACTCTTAGTGATTCTGGGGTTTTCAGTCCCTAAATCACTGGGATTACCACGTCCATTGTCATCCATTGTCTCAGCTTGCCCCAGGGGCAGGGCCTGCAAAGCAGGGTAGGGATGGAGCCCCTGACCCCTGTGTCTGCCTAAGCAGGCGCTTTAATCTGCTGAGTTATCTGGCCAGCCCAAAGGATTCTTTTCTAAATATAAATTTATAATATATAAAAGCATAAATTTGTTAAATGCTATAAATATATTTAAGCACATTTATATATGTAATTTATGTGTGAATTTGAACTAGGCAGCTATATCTTATGCAAAAGTCTATATAAACATATGAGCAAATAGATTATATGTGTATATTATATAGGTATGTAATTATATGTGTGTGTGTGTGTGTGTGTACATTTAATGAACAACACACTTCCACAGGACAGTAATGTACCTTTGGAGTACACAGTCTGAGAAAGTATACAGTAAGCTGAGGGTCTAGTTTAGTGGGAGGCTTGCCTAGCATGTGTGAGGTCCTGAGTTCCATCCTCAGTACTTCCCAGAAGAAAACAAAAATAACATACAGTAGTAATGTTTCAAAACTTAGAGTAATTTTTTTTTTTTTTTTTTTTTGCGGAACCGGGGATTGAACTCAGGCCCTTGTGCTTGCCAGGGAATTGCTTATTCCACTGAGTCATCTCCCCGGCCTCAAATATAATTTAGGTTTTTTGTTTTTTTTTTTGTTTTTGTTTTTGTTTTTGTTTTTGGCGGAACCGGAGATTGAACTCAGGCCCTTGTGCTTGCCAGGGAAGTGTTTATTCCACTGAGCCATCTCCCAGGCCCCCTAAATTTTTCTTTTTTTTTTTTTTTTGGAGGAACCAGGGATTGAACTCAGGCCTTTGAGCTTGCCAAGGAAGTGCTTATTCCACTGAGCCATCTCCCCGGCGAATAAATTTAGTAATAGATTTAAATGAATTTTGTGTTTTCATTTGTCACAGTCTCATTATTCAGGCTGTATGATATTTACATCTCCATAAAGACTACCAGGGGTTGAAGAGATAGGTTGGTGGTCTAAGCAGCTGCCTGGCAGTCACAAGGACCCAGGTTCGATCCCCAGTTACCATATGCCGTGCTGGCCCCCGAACCCGAGGCACGCCCTGCTGGCCACTGAACCTGGCTATAGTGCTGCATGCCTATAATCCCTGCACTGGGGAGGCTGAGGCAGTAGGATCACTACAAGTCTGAGTTGCGTAGCGAGAACCTGTACCAAGTAAATAAATATTTTTAAAATAAATAATAAAAAAATAAAGACTACCATGATAGTGCTTGCCATGCAAGTGGACTTTGGTGCCCTCAGATGGACTCTACAAATTTGTGTTGGATGGAGGGAGGGAGGGAAGGACGGGTGGATGAACAGATGGACAGCTGAATGAATTTCCCAATGTCTCTATGCCACCTCAAGGCAGCTTCTTAATGTGGTGCATATTTTCATGACAATGAAAAGCCTGACCAAAGACTCTTCTGTTTTTCAGAATTCTTTGGCGATCTGGACACACTAATGGGGCCTCTGACTCAGCACAGCAGCATGACCAATCTTGTCCGCTATGTTCGCCAGGGACTGTGTTGGCTCCGCATCGATGCCCATTTGTTGTAGTGGGTGCTCGCTCATCTCTAGCATCACCACCCATCACTCTACCTCTACCAGCGCACTGACGGTCACTGGTGGAACTCCATTCACTTGGGAAAGTTCTCTTTGGTTATGTTTTTTTTTATGCTTCTTTTGATATCTGTGAAAAGCTGAAGTCATTGTAAGTGGACACTACAACTTGGGAGCAGTGTATGTTTTATTATTTTTTCAGTATTTGATATGTTTTTCTTAGATCCCAGCATCTTTTTGTGCTTCATGGAATGATAGTCCCTACATTATTATTTTCAGTCCACACTACCCAAAACAAAGAATGAGAAGCACACGTAATGAAAACAGGTTCCTAAGAAATGAAACAAATGGTCTTATTGTAGATGAGAACTTAGATACAAGGGACCTGCCAAGATTTGCGGCAATAGTCAGCCGCAAGCTCTACTCCTATGTCCAGAAAAGAATGTGTTTAAGAATCCACTGTTAAACTTTTGTGGTTCCCAACAGATTCAATCTTCAGGTGAGAATTCTTATTGTCAAAATCCACTGGATAGATGCTGTAGCAAGACCATATCAAGAAATACAAGGGCATAGCAATACTGCTCTTGAAATGATGCTATGCCTTGCAACCAGAAGACTTTTTTTCTTAGCAGATTGTTCCTTATTTACTTCTTCTTCTTCTTCTTTTTTTTAGATTTTAATGTTATGAAGGAGGGATGACCTTTATTTTGACAACTTTAAAGCATCAGCTGTATTAACAGTGTTTGAATTCCATGATTTAAAGTTTAAATCCTCATGGAGATCTTCTGTGTGCTAAGCTCTTCTTTAGAGGCAAAGTTTGGTGGTTGCATGCCTTAGTAACCAATTGCCAGTCTTTCCTGCGAGATAAGAGAGGTCCGGAAAGTGTCCGGCGTGGAATTCACACATCTGCCTACTTTGTAGTCAGTGGCATGTTGGTAACTAGCTGGACTCTTAAGCTGTATCTTGCTCAAATCTATGGAAAGAAAGTCGAATTATCACTGCTGGAAAATAATAATACACAATTTTCTTTCTAGTGGTTTTAAAATTGGACTTCCCCAATTATGGTCCACATTTTCTATTTTCAGAGTTTCTTGTACTCTCCTTTCATTTTTCCTCATATCTTTTTTTCTTTACTTTCCTTTTTTCTGACTCATTAGCTTTTGATTGAAACATCATCACTGATTTTTTTAAATTTATGTTGCTATGGTCATGTACATACAAAGTCCAAAGAAAACTCCTAACTGTAAGTAGTAGCTAACCCTAAAACAATGTGATTCTTGGGGTAATGCTTCACCCTGTGGGGCTTTGAAAGAGCCCCAGTGATTGGGAACAGCTCACCTAATTTGGAGACCTTTTCCTATCAGTTACAACTGTCTCCCCTCCTTATGGTTCCCTACTTTCATCTCTGTCCCTAAGCACCACCATGTAAATATCATCTTTGCTGTTCCAGCTCACCAGAAGCATCCCCCACTTGTAGGAAACACTATCAATACATTAATTACTTGTAATTACCTGCTGGCACATAATTCCATGTAGCTTTTAATCTGCTGAGTTATTGAATTCTGTTCACTGAGATATGACCAGATAAATAATAGATATGCACATGAAAAATGCAAACTTGTATGATTTTCAAGCAAGTCATGCAGGTCTATGATAAAAACAGCAGGTGATCACTCTGCACTCTCATTGTCAAGGTTAGATATATTCCAGTTGCAAAAAGAGCCAGACTTGAGCTGTGCTCTGGTCATCTTTGAGTTTAAGGCCCTTTGTTGTATAATAAGGTTATGGAAGTTGTACTCCAATGGCTGAGACCATGCTGTTAATATGGCTGATGGGAGTGTTGCAGCAGCTGAACCCTGCACTTTTGAGACTCCCAATGTAGTTGAGATTCACATTTACAGTCTCAACAACACTTGAATACACATGCGCACATACATACACACACATGAGCACATACAGATGAAGCCAGAAAGAATCTTTTCTGAGCCTCTTGGAGGAAGATATTCATATGAGAGTCTGAACACCCAAGGCGGGTGTGACATATCAAAATTAAGCTGATGACTTTGCAGTGACTCAAGCTCTCTGGTTTCCATAGCTGACCAGGTGGAGCGCCTGGCTGTTACTTTCTCATGAAACCCACTGGCTTGACTTGTAAGCTAAACCTAGACCATGATCCTATTGTATCATGGATTTAGGACCTGATTCTTCTTGAAATTCCAAATCTCTGCAAACTAGACACTAGAATGCTAAGGGCAGTTTCCCAGGGAAACGAGCATAGTGCCTCACAGACGAAAGACTTGCAGCTCTAGTTTCAGTAACTTGTTACATCTACTTACACACAGCAGGGAGGTGAGAGGAGTCTCTGCCATCTCTGGTGGCTGAGTGTAAAGTGTGTGCTAAGTCACTAGCACAGTTATCAAATCTGACAGCCAAGCTCTGACTCACCACCTGATTATTTAGTAGGACCATTTTTAAAGCAGCTTAGAAACCAATTAAACATGGAGAATGGATTTCCTTCCTATCCCTGGAGATGAGACATCTCAGTTTCATGATGAAGGATTGTTGCTGTTTTCTAGGTTCTCTGTTCATCACGTGATAAATGGTGATATGTGTTGTGGGTGTGCAGCTATTTGAGGGATGAGGGATTAAGACATTTTGTCACATGAATCTTTTCAGCATACCTGCTTGTGGGAGGGACACAGGACATATGGATAACAGTGAGATACCCTGATGGAGGCTTGGTGAAACACATCGCAAGAAGCGTGTGGAGGTAGGGTAATGGGCAGAGCAATGGGCTTCTGTCTCTACCTGAACAAAGATGAACAATCTCAGCCCTGCCACATGACCCAGGTAGGGCCACCGCTATGCCTTCATTTCTCACCCAAGCTCCAACCACAGAAAGTCTGACAAGTTTGTGTTATGATGTTGGCTTGGCATTATATTTTTAATTAGCTTTGGATTTTTTAGTGGTTTTGTCATATTACTGTCTGAGTTTGGTAGGTAGGATTAATTTGAAAAGACTTTAGTAGTGTGGTCCTTGGGGTAGACTTTAGCTATAAGCATGTTGTTAGCCAGCCTATAGACTGTTAATTGCTTAATAATCTCACTGGGAAAGTACTAGTAGTTTTATATTTGGGTGACGTAATTGGAAAAGGAGATTAGCTCTTGTTACTTTGAGAATCTTGAGGTTGGGATGCACTGTCTTCCTGCATGATGAGAGGAAAAGATCCAAACAGTTGCTCAGTAACCAAGTTGCAACATTAGAAGCCACTGGCTGAAATGCATTTTGTTGAACTTCCAAATGGATGCCTTTTCATTTGGACTGTACACTGCTGAGTGCATTGGATTTGCTCTGCACCGGAAGGATACTTGTTCTGTGGCAGCTTTCCTGAAGGTGTCTAAATTTCATTTTCTTCTACTCAGATTTGCATCTCAGAGGTTGATGTTGGAGTTTGAAGTTGGAAAGCAATTCTGAAGGCAGACTCAGTTGAGTTGCGAGGGTGAAGCCCTCACGTACTTCTGAACAGATGTAATGAAATTCACCTGCATGAGTTGGTGGGTGGGAGAACCAAACTGGATTGCTGGGTAGGACTACTCAGTAAAGGAATGAACTCATTACTTAGAGAGGCATCACTATCCCCATTGAGAAAAATGTGTGGCCAGATGAGATAGCTACACAATATAAACAAGTTGGCTGATTCAGCGCTCCCCAATTCAATTTTGTGGGGAAAAAGTATTGAGCCAGTTGTCAGTGTTCTGTTACAAAACTGACAAACTGAATTCTTTGTCGTCGTTGTTATCGTTATTGTTGTTGTTGTTGTTGTTGTTTCTCATTTCCACTTGCACAGCCTTATTCTCATAATTAAACTCTGACTCATTTTCTCTTTGGTGTTTGCAAACTCCAACAACAGAAATGGCATCTGTGTATTGGTAATCAGCATTCACCCTGGCAGGAGACTAATCAGATAGACTCGTCTCAGACATTAGTCCTATCATCTGATAGTTCCAGGAAAAGAAAACATGATAATTCCCTTGCCATTCTCCTCCTCCCAAATCCAGAAGCCCTCTTTACCAAGAGCATCACATTTTTCTCTGTAATCTATTGACTAAAAGAAAATTGTTGTGGGGAAAGTGGAGGGGGCGTGTGGGTGGAGGGTGGAGGGTGGGGAAGCCCCCAGAGGCCACACTGCAGTTCATTCCCCTTCCTGCTTCTGACATGAGGTGTTAAAGAATCATTCATAGTGCTCACGCTGGGTTAGGGGACACTGAACTGCTTTTCGGATCCATGACCAATCATCATTCTTCTGAGAGTGGAGCTTTGCTGTTTCATTAACTGTGCAGTGTAGACTAATGGTGTTTAATAAAAATCATTCAAAATTTCAAACTCCTTTGCCAGTGACCTCAATTTTGTTGGCTCTTTGCTTTGCATCAGACTTTGAGGAGGGAAGCGGGGAGCAAAGGAAGCCTGCTGGCAGGCCCAGGCAAGACTCTGCAGCAGATGCTGTGCAGCTGGGGAAGCCTCCGAAGAGTGCCCCAGGGGCTGCTTTCAGCTGGGAAGACCTTGTTCCCATTGGGGATCCTTGCTCTCCCTCCTCCCCAGCAGAAAGCCAGCTGCCTCATCAGTTGCTTTACCTATTTTGTTTTCTCCTGCACTACTTGTGTGGCTACAAAACAAGAGAAGTGTCTCTGAAAGTAGCCCAGGGTACTGACAGTGGCAACATGGAGCCAGCTGCACCCTAGAGGGCTTTGCCCTACTTTGATCCTGCGGGGCCTGTAACATTGAAGGAGAAGGAATCGCTGGGCAAGAACCAAGTTGGAGAGATCCCAGGAAACTGGTTGGTGCCATACTGTGCAGACTTTTGGTCAGCTTGGCAAGCCACCAGTGGTGTGCTGGTAAACTGTTTAGCAACCAGCTCTCTGAGAACACAAAACCTGGTTTGTAGCATTTGCCCATTTGCATGGTGTAAATACTCTCATCATGGGTGATTTCTGACTGCCAATTACAACATCATCGTTGAACACATGATTGATGGAAGATGCACACCAGTGCTCTGTGTGAGCTGGGCCAGCTAAACACACCATTCGCTGCAGCCATTAAAAGAGGGTTCATGGTTCCCACATCTGTTCATGTGGACACAGCCACTTCATACACTTCAGTGACTAGAACTATCAAATCTTTTTCAAATTTCAATCAGTCAGTCTTCTGTGAGTGTAAGTTGTTTATGGTGAGGACCTGCAGCTATGGGCTCTTTTGGAAGCCTGGGTTTAAGTAGCCCGCATACAAAAAGGATGAAACTTGCTGAAGCTGATGAGATACATGGACCGGTGGTGGAGGCCTCAGTCTCACAGTGTACATACAGGTAAAATGCAAGTGAGATAACACTCAGCAAATTCTAATGGCTGTTTCTTTAAAGGATAGATAAGTGCTTCTGTTACTGTGGTCATTAACATTTTGTTTTAAATTTCCAAGTGATATTTCCAACTTCTAAGTGTAACTTGGATAGTTGCAAAGTCTCTGGAAAGCATAGCACAATCCAAATTTTCTGTGTTTTATCTCATAATACAGAAACCCAGTAATTGCCTAATCTCCACATTGTTGTTCATAGGTTTTTAGGGGTTTTCTTTTTGAAGGAGTAGGGGTATTGACATTTCTTAACATTTGTTTCTCATTAAAAGTATTTGATTACTATCTTAGTGCTGAACTCCAGCCACAGTTTATCCTGTATCAGTTTCAGGATGAATATTCAGAAATGACATAATGAATATTCAGAAACGATTGTCCCAACTAAAACAATTCCTTTCCATGCAATGTGAAGGGAACTAAAATCACTAACAAGCAGGCATAATCTATATTTCTCTGAGAGAATGCATCTTTCATTAAACACACACATGCACACACACACACACACACACACACACACACACACACATTTTGTTAAAGTTCCTCATCATAAATCAGTTTGGTAGTAGAACAGAAGCCTCAGAGACTCTCTTCTGGACCTGTGCATCTTCTACAATTAATAAGAGATTCATATCTGGAACAGCTGAAGAATTTGCCCTATAATCTTACTTTTCTTTAAGCATCTGCATTTCTATCTGGGCCTGTGTCTACTAGGAATATTAACCCTGGAGGAGATCCATATCTTACTCCTCATCCTGGCCTTTCTGTCTTTTGCCTCTGTGGTTCTTTCTGTGGCTTACACAGTGGCTGAGTTTAAGGATCTGTCCCTTCCTGGTTTTCCTGCAACATTTGTCATTCATTCCTGGAGAATGGTAACATTGGGGTCTGGTGCAATTCATATTATATTACACTTATGCAGGGACTCTGTGTCCCCCATACCTCCAGACAGTTGACCGATCTTCATGACTACAAAGAACTAGAAATGTGGTTAACATCATCTGGCGCATCCCCTATTGCAAAACCATGCTTGGTAATCAATCATGTTCTCCCATGAATACTACAAATGAGAATGATTCTGTCTTGAGACAATTTGTCAAATAGTTTTCCTCCTGGATGATTCTAGTCTCTTGGTATTTTAGAAAGAAATGTCTGAGATGAAATCCTTTGCGTTTACACAATTCTAAAAATTGGTGTTTTTATTCCTATTTTCATCAGAGCAGTGTTTCTGAAGACTGATGTAGTGCTGTCTTCAATAAAATCACTATGTTAAATGTGAGCCTTCTAGAGATACCATGCTCAGAAATGTTCCTTGGGATCACAAGACACCTAAAATTCTCCCCTTTACTCTCTTCTTTAGATGTGTATTTTTAGGATCCCCCAAAGAATGACTTTTCTGTTCTTGTGCTGGTGGCTGTGGCTGTGGTTGTCCTCTCTGTTTCTCTCTCTCTCTCTCTCTCTCTCTCTCTCTCTCTCTCTCTCTCTCTCTCCCGCCCCCCTCCTCCCTCTGGTATTCTTTCTCTTTAAAACAATTAATATTTGAATTAAATGTGAGCTTCTGAATTGTACTTGTTTGTGCTTTTGAGACCTAAATTAATAAAAAAATAAATAGATGTGTCCTGATTTAGCACATGCCTCCTGGAAAGGCATGCTGTATTACAAAACCATAATATAATAACTGCATTATTACATGGCAGTATAAATAGTAGTCTGTTGAATTCATTTGTCCAATTGTATCACATTGTGAAGCAGTGTTTTGAACTTTGCTACATCATTTTGGAGCAAGTGGAGTGGTTGCAGGCAGAGGAGAAAGTGCTTGGATCAGATATTTCAGTGAACTTTAGTTGGAAACCTGGTAATAGTAAAAACCTTCAGATGTTGTTGTAACCATTGTAAATATGAACAAGAAATCTTTGTTCAAGAAATTTCCCAGAGCATTTCAGCCAAGACTTTTAAGTTCATCATCCTTTTTTCTTTTCCTTTTTTCCCTTTGTTTTTCTTGGAAGGGGTGTGTTTTTTTATGATTTGCCTGAAGAAATATTTTGAATACCCTAGGTTATTTCTGTTTATTTCCCCCTTTCCTCTTTTTTTCCCTGCTTCCATCTCACCCCTCATTCCCCGTCTCTCTTTAAAATGCTGAAATCTAGAGTCTCTGGTAAAGCTGCATTAGGCCAGGCTATAGGCCAGCTGGACAGTAAGCCCTACTCTGATGGATTCTTGAAGGAGAACACTCTGTTTTCATGGGTCCTTCCACCAAGACACCAAGGAGCAGAGATAGTTTTTTTGCAGAGTGGTGCCTGCCTAATAGCCTGGGAGATTAATGCAGTTTAGTGTATGACTCTACCTATTTTCCAGTAACTTGATAGAGACTTGCAAAATACCCCTGGGAGCTGTCAGGAGTATCTTCTGCCTGGTCTATAATGTATTTGTCTGCTTTGTATCAAAAGGCACATCGTGTCTTGTGTGCTCATTTGAGTATTTCTTAACATTCCCATTGACCTGTATATAAGAACCAGAAAGATAGTCTCAACACGTTGTAAATGAAGATATGAGTCTATAACCTTTCTCTTGTTCTTGGGGAAAAAAAGACATTCTCATGCATATTTTAGACAGGAACTGTATATTTAAGTGTCATGGAAAATATTTATTGACCAGGATACAAATGGGAATTTAATTGTCAACATATGCTGTGTGTTTGTGTGTGTGTGTGTGTGTGCTCACCAACACCATGTTGCTGAACCACTGTGGCAAGTTGAATACATTGTTTGTGGTTAGCATGGGCACATGTGTGTACTGGTGCCATATGTCTGGCTTGCTGTCTTTCATGGGATTTTAGCTCTCCCTTGCTGAAAAACATTGTTTTACAGTTTCAGGAAGCCATGGTTACATTGCTGTGTGAATGCAGTAACTGGAAACGAAACCATCTTTCTTCTTGGGAGTTTGCGCCATAACATCATGGCTCAGTCACATAGATTTCATTGCTCTTTGAGAGGAAATTGAATCTGCTCAAATCCAACTGAGCTTCCAAGAGGAAATTGTAGGTTGAGATGTAGGGAAGGAAAGATGAAGGTGACCTCAGCCACCACAGCGCAGAGTGAGCTGAGTTGGGCCCTCAGGGTCAGAATAGGCTCCACCCAAGCTGCCAGTCACTGCCCTGGGACCCATGTCTGGCCTGGGCTCCCTACACAGAAACAGAACAGCAGAAGCAACAGCGACAGCTGGCCCTGGCTCCTGAGGAGAAAATTCTGGAGACCCTATCCCCATCCTAGGAAGACTCTTCCACACTGGTGGCACCCCAGGCGGCTGTCAAAACCCAATGATCACTCAGAAAGTGCCCCCTTCACTTTAGCATAACCCAATGAGTCTTTTGAACCACTTCTTAGGTGCAGATTTCCAATATTCTTCTTCACTGTAGCTCCACCAGCTGTCGCTGTTCTTAATATGCATGCTTATCTAGTCAAAATTACAGTCAGTTCGGATGTTCTGTATAGGCCCTTCTAACTGTTTTAACATCAATCAGTTAATGAAATGGTATCTGGTTTGTAAAAACTGGTTTCATGTGCTTTATATGTATAAAACTCTATCTGCCTGTGTGGCTTTGCATTTCAAATGTGTGGCGCACAAGCGTTTTGTTGGTGCTTTGTTCTCAGTACAGTAACTCTGTGTACAAACATTTTAATGTGGTTTTATTGTTTTGCAACAAGATGTCTGTAAAAATGTTATTGGCTGAGCTG